AAAAAAAAAAAAAAAAAAAAAATAAGTCAGAGACGAGTAAAGGGGGTGAGACATAAATACGTAAGTACGTAGTTACTTTTGCCATTGCGTGTCATGCGCGTCCGTTAAAAATTTTCCTCTTTCTTTTTTTCTCCCCTTTATGCGCTCCCCCTTTGTTTTTTCTCTCTCTCTCATCTGCGCCTCGGGAAATTCACGTACCGCACCGGCACCGACATCATCACGGTCTTCTTTTGTTGGCCGGCCATTTTTGATTCGTTCTTAGAATCGGCAACAGGCAGACACACCGAACAGCCGAACTGGCGTCTGTTGCCCGTCGGTCCGCGGGCAACAATCTGTATTTTTTATCTGGACCCTCGCAGCCACCTCCCCGTCCTCTTACATCCACTTCTCGTGTGTATGCCTGCCACCGTGATTCCTCGAATTTATGAAACGAATTCTACTCCACCCCTTTCTCCTCATCCTTGCCCTATTTCAAGATGTATACGTATATTATATATATATATATATATATATATATATATATATTCACATCGCAGGTCGTATTCTTAATTCCGCTCGAAGATCCTTGTTGCCCGACTCCTGGTGCGACAGAAGCCTGCACGAATTCTTTGATCCCTCCAGTAACAGGTTTGCCACGTTGGATTGGTTCTGCAATAATAATACAAAGAAATGATTGATCTTGATCCAGGTATGTTAGATCTTGAGTTATCATTAAAATAGAAATACCCTTAAAGATTCCGAATAATTGAAAAATAAATATTATACAATTTTTATAAATACTCCATCGGTCTGTTCCCTGGAACGGATACGTAAGACGTATCGTTTATTTGTTATTCTCTTAAGGCGCGTTCACACTCTATTGATTATTCGCTTTTGACGCGTTCGTAAACCACATGAAATTTACACCTAACACGTATTGGTATAACATCGCGACTAGATACCAATCCGACTATTTATACCTCTCCTCGTGACACTGGACGTTACATAAGCATGTATTATTCATACCGTCACTCTTGTGCCTCCTTCGTACCCATGATCCTGCCTTTATGCGTGCCTCTTGATAGGAAGCGTAGGTCTTGTCCTTCTATATGCAATAATGCAATTCCGATCGGACACTGTGTCCCGGTCCATTCATGGCTGCTAACAATGAATCGTCTTGTATGATATAATAATAACATGACTAGACTAATATATTATTTATAAATAAAAATTACAAGCATATTGCAAATTATTTATATTACTAATTTTTAATTCACTCTTTGCATTATTTCGTACATCGACTCAAATTCCTCGTCTTTACGAACGCTTCCTTCAAGAATTTATCACGGTATTCCTACGACATTTATGAACCGAACATTATGCGACAGAGTTGTGAACGTTAGCTGTACTCACCGCGAATGATCAGTCGTTCCTAGAAGGTACATTCGTTCCGTGTTATAATTCCTATAATTAGAGAATGTCGTAGACTCCGAATGAGTCAGACACATTGGCACTTGAATTTTCGCATGGGATAACGGGAAATGATAAAGATACAAAATCCGAGATCAGTACCCAATAATTTTGTATTCCTGTCTGGAATACTTATTGGTCTTATGTTTAATGTACTATAGTACCTAGATTCTAGTTGTATATTCCATATAGGTATAAACGCCTCGTCGTGACTTCTCTATTCATAAGATTCTCTTTCATTCATAAAAGCCTACCTAGTTCCAGGCATCGTTGTAGGATCCATTCTTAACGCTATGATATCCTCTTAAGTCATAGGACGTATATACATGTGTGCGAAGCTTAACGATAGTCATGCATTTAACGCGATGAAAGCGTACGAAGGAAACAGCAAGGCGTATAGGAGGTTCGTGCGTCTTTCTCGACGAGAAGTCGATTCGAACAAGGAGTAGGGTTATTAAAAAAAAAAGAAATAAAAAAAATGACAGAAATCACGTTTTAAGGCTTTAACCGATTCCAGGTACAATTAGGAGAACCCTCGCTACTGTTATGTCCCTTCCATGAAATCTCGAACAGATGGCTCTGCACGAGTCCACGTAAAAAGGCGACAAAAACCGAGGGGAACGGAGTATACAAAAATGAAGTAAGGTCTTTATGTATTTTTTATCTATTGTTCAATTTTGTTTATTAGTTTTTACTATCTTTTTCCAAATTTCAAACTCAACACTGAAAGATATTCCATTTTGAATATCTCAAGTGGATACCGAGACTCAACCTCGTCTGTTTGGTACGCGATGGTTAAGTACAAAGTTTGTTGTCACTTTCGATCGAATTTCGAAAACCGAATGAACTCTGGGAAATCTCGTAGACCAAAACAGAAACCGGAGTAGCGCATTGCCACTCGCAACGGTTTCCTGCAACGCCCACGAATGCTCCGAACGCAACGAACGTTCACTTACGATTAATGACCGGAGTCAAGTATGCGACCGAGCGCTGGCTGTTAAATCGCGCCACTAACATCGCCAGCCCTCCTGTGAATGGGACTCGAGCATGGCGACTGGATAATTCGCAGAAAAGAAGGAAAGAAAGAAAAAAATATATAGAAACACAAACGTTTTACACGGCCCACGATACATTACGTAGAAAGGTTGCGTGAGAAGAAACATAGAAGGTTGGTAAGACGTCGCAGGGTCCTTAGAATATAGTGTGATACGTATAGGACAATAAATTACCCAACATGCACTGCTATCGAGCGCTACGTTCACGGCTGTCAATTTACGTGGAAAAAAATGAAATTCACAAAAATCACTTACTTCATTAAATTACATGCTGCAACGGGAATAATATTCTTGAATAGGAAGAGCGTCGGGTCTTCTACGTGGAATTCTTGAATGAATTGTAATGGACGCCGCTCTGGTCTCAATGAGAATAATTCCGGATGACGCGATTAATTATTCTGCAGTTGGCATTGTATATACGTACGTTATAGCAATTCCGTGTACGCTGAGTTATACGTTATAAAACGATCCTTCGTAACAGGAAACAGGACACGTATCTACTTGTATGTACTATATGTCGGACGTGATGACTGACTCAGTCAAAGGCCCTATAAGAAGCCATCTCGTGAGATCAACAACAAACACAACGCTCAGACCTTCGTCGACGTCCAAACGTGGAAGCGTGAGACTCCGCTCTATTCGGCTCGTTTCCAGGTATGTTATTTACGCGGGAGTAAATAGTTACTCGTTAGCGAATACGTCGTTCGATGTCAAACGCGTGTGGATGTCTCTTTGCGTTTCCTCGACGGCGGCGTCACAAAAATAGTCACGACGGACGGTCTGTACTACGTTGTCGCATAACCTACAATACTTCGCGTATACCTATATATCGGACGCTCATTAAACGAATGTTCCGCCAGGGATTTTGTTTACCCTCGACAACGTTTCCACGAACTCTTGAGAAGCTAAGAAGAATTTTGGGTACGCCAACTGACTAACTGCTCTCTAATAACCAAGTCTAATGGTCTGATATCTGATAAAGATAACCTAACCTCTTTGGTGCTATTTTTATTTCACTCTTTTCTTTCCTTCAATTGTATTCACTCTTACTTGGTATTACCGTGCACGGAGGTTAGAATACCAGAAGGTCGCGTGCTCTTGAACTCTTATCTGTCAACGACGTTAAACGGAAAATTGTTATGTACCATGCTATAGCCACCTGTTGAGTTGTCATTTACTTTGTTTATTATCTCACACTCCCAATATATTATGTAAATATTTGTTATATAGGTGGCGTCACTTTTTATTAAGCTATGTATTGTATCGGGCCTCGTACTGTTTTACCGATCGATACGGCAGTGCGAATTATCGACCGAGTCAGTTTGGTTGATTCAACGATAAAATGTATTGTGGGTGTGTATATCTGTCATACAGATTAATACGAACTTTCGCCTGGTGACTGATACAATGCGAATTGAGAATTTTTATAATTTGACTTAATAATTTATGCTTTTGCATGATTCTTATTGCTTGATCTTAATTCGGTGTGATGTCTAAGTAATTGGTAGTGACGCTGCGTGGGACTCGTTACAAAAATTCGTAGTGTCTGCCGTCGAGACGCGAGGTCGCCAAGAGGTTATCAAAGTGACAGCCGAGGACGTGTGGAGATTGTGGAGATGTGGAGACGACGCTTTGTGGAGATTTTTCAGCGAGGACTTTTGGCGCCTCCTCACACCGCGTTATCACTGCGGGTAATCTCTGGGGCAAAATGAGTCATCCCTCCGTTATGAAACTCATCTCGGATGATGTGTTTTACGAGTTATTGAGAAATGGCGACTTTTATTGAATATTTGAGCCTCGTTACACCAGGAGCGAACGTCGAGATGTATAATTAAGTAATAGCTCATTTCTTATGAAGTATATTTACGTCATTACTATGTGTGTTAACTATACTTACTGTTAGATTCGAGTTAGACAAGCTAAATTAACTGTTGAATCTCAAATCTCAGTGATTCGAGCAATTGAACGATTTTCTAAGCTCTACGTGCGTAACGAAGGGAGCAAAAAACATGATAACCGATCAGAGAATCTTTAATCTTAACGAGACATGATGACGCTAATTGTCAACTGTGAGTTACGAAAACTTTACGATAAAAGAAATTAGGTCCTTTAAAGTTCGATCCTGACGTTGCTCTGAAGTCGATTTAATCTCAAAATATCCAAATTCCTGATTGACTAATCTTGTAACTGAACGAAATTTCAATATTATATCGTATGAACGGAGCTTAAGTATATCAATGGTACGATAATAAAAAAAAAACATGGCTGACCTTATATCGACCCACCACCTACCGGCTGAAATTCTTACTACTTGTTTTCCATTTCTGGTAGCCCCCTATACCTTTTCACCCTCTCCATACCCTTTCCCTATTATGTAATTTAATGACTTTGCGAAACTTCCTCTAAATTCAAAAATTCGCCTGCAAATAGCACGCGTAATTCCTATGTGATATAAACCTGACTGAATCTGGATCATCTATTTTTACAGTGCAAGTAAATAGACTGTACTTTCAAAATAGATATTTGAAAATATAATATATATACATACGGTACAACGAATATAAATAATAACAACAATAATGTTAATAAAATTTAAAACAAAAAGACGCATAACGCCTCATATGCACCATAAATAAGATTCGCATATGTAAAACGTTTATCATTTGACATTGTATATCGAATGGATGTTAATCGAGTGATATTTATTCTCCCTGCCATAACGTGGTGTGCGTGTGAAAAAAAAATAAATAAATAAAAAATTCCAATCGCATTATTATTCGATATTCACGACGGATGTTCCGGAACGTGTCCATTGTCAATCGCGCCCTTATTAACATTCATAAATGGCCTCGTAACGCTGCTATAATGACTGACAACTGCCTAATGGATAACGACACAATTTGCCGGCCGGCCGTCTTGCGTTGAAAACCGGGCCGATCTCACGTGGCCGTGAGGTCAGGCCTGGGGAACGTCCTTTTAAGGTGACTGCTCCTGCGCCACGACCCAGGTTAACGCTCTCGTATCCCTAGACCGTCTGAATCCTCGCGAGTATCCTATATCCCAGTGCAAAATAGCCAAATCGATACAAAGTCATTGGATCGAATTAAAAAAAATTAAATCCCACTAAAAAAAAGATCCCACGCATATAGATTAAATCTAAAATTCCTGCGGTCCAGTAATTCAGAGCTGCTTCCACAGCCAAGCGTAGGTTCACCAACTAATTGACAATGCTAACAGGCGACAGCGCCAATCGTTAATTAATATATACGCATATAATAAGAGAAAAAGTGACGCGGACAGTAGAGAAGTGAATCTACCACAGTAAAGCAGAGCGTCGATTGCGTTACGCAAACGTATGTTCATAACCAACCAACGTGCCAATGACGTACCGGGACAGTTATTTTAGACCCCCGACAGCACCCTGGGACCAGAGTACCAGAATTGGCGATTCTCTTGACGATAACTATAACGACCTTGAGTATTCCCCCGCCACCTCGTATCAATACTCAATACAGATACTAGGAAAAGAAGCGAAGCAACGGCGACCCTGGCGCACAGTCGTCCCGCCTCTAGAAAATCCCATCCAGGCCGAGATCCTCTCCGGCACGAGAGGATCGAGGAACGTTCCAAGTGTCCCAATCATCCTGGACCCAGGGTGATTCTCGTCCAGGATGGAATCCCTCGAGGGTATCCAAGGCGGCCCTTTGGTGCGCGTGACAGCGAACAACTGCCGTAGTTTATTATTACATCATGGCCGTGGCGGAGGCCCCTAAGTGGAGCTCAGGGAAGTAGAGGCGAATCATGCCGAGGGATATTGCGACCTCGGGTAGTAGAAGCCTATGTACGTGGACGCGCGAGGATCGTCCGGTTCCTTGTGGTCGTGGGCCGTGTCTTGTCTGTGTATCAGCCGTTCTACCAGCTAGGGAGAGTCTGTGATCTGCAGCGCGAGGAGAGTCAAACGGATACTGTGGAGGAATACTAAGAGAGAGAGAGAGAGAGGGAGTGAGAGTGAGAGTGAGAGAGAATGACAAAGAGGGCAGACCAAGGAAGAGCGGAGAGCGGAGCCAAGAGAGCAACTCGGGAGGCCCGACAGGCTGACGCCAGGAACCCCACCATGCGAGACGACGTGTAACCTGTGCATATATATGTATGTATACATAGTGAGAGTAAGAGAGAGAGAGAGAGATGCGTATCCCGTGCCATATACAAGTACACACTTTCTTGCCGTTCCATACGGGCCAAAGTCGGTCCAGGCCTTCTTCTCCTGCGACGCGCCCTATTCAGACATTATCGTCATCTCGGCTCCAGATGATTCACGTGGTGGGTTGTGCGCGCTGAGAATGGCCTGAGAATGCCCTGAGAAATCGGCAAGGACGACCTCTTTCCTCAGTCTTATTATAGGATATGCATATCGAGCCGTATAGGCTAAGTCATGCACGAATAAAGACGAATTCCTCTTGCCCTTTTGTTTATTCCACTTGAATTCGACGTCCTTTGCTTTGGACGGAAAGAAGAGAGTCGTAGACAGCTCTTTCTCGGGGTTTCCTAGTTAATTAGTCGCAGCGTGTCTCATAAGTCTCCCGGGTGGTGAGAGGGGGGAGGGGAGTGACGAAACTCGTCTGCCATCGGCAGGCGTCACTCCCGTCGGAGCAGACCTATGTATATCTGCTGCTTGTGTTCCATTACCCATGCGTTACATGACTACAGATTTTTGTGCAGTTTACTGATTACCGTATAGTGTAATCAGATATAGTGTCATTAATGTTATTTATAACCAGAGTCAATACCTAATCCTGTATCGCTGTATCCCGGCTGCTCTCAACAGACTCGATGTCTATTGTCTTGAATCTAATGTGTAACGAGGCGTGTTCGCCAAGAGAACAGGGAAAGTTTTACGCGACGATGAACGAGCCGTTTGAACAATTAGAGAGGGGGAGAGAGAGAGAGAGAGAGAGAGAGAGAGAGAGAGAGAGTGTCAAAGAATCGAACAAGGACAGGGGAGAGGGAGAGAGACGACCTTCGATGGCGTCGGCGTCATTACGGACAGCGAGAGCAGCAGGCGAGCCAGCGACAGGTAGAAACATTAAGTCAGATTTTAATCGAGACTTCGACGATTAAGAAAACAAGAGCGATCGATCGTATCGAAGATCGGCAGCGGGTAGGAGAAGGCCAGCGATTCGTAACTGCGAAGAAGCTCGAAAGTTTCGTCGGCGGCGTGTGCCGTTGACAGGAGTCAGAAATAGCCGGGACCGCGGTCCAGCAGCCAAGAACCTAGTCTCTCTCTAGAGAGGAAGGTCGTACAGGCCTCTTATACATCCTATGAGAGAATAACGTGTAGTTAGATGTGTACCAGACTTTAGTCTACGTCGCCATTGCTAACGTATATGAAAAGAATTTCTCTTGGAATAGGTAGGCGCTTGTGTATATAAGTATATGTGTGTACTGTATGGTACCTATAGGGACAGACAGATGGTGAGGACTTCTGAGAGTTTAGGCTAGGTTAGAGTAGGTAGAAGACGAAGATGAAACGGAGAAGGAAGAAGAAGAAGGGAATAGCCCTCCTTCGTCCTGGGGATTGGGGAAGCCCTCACGATTCTACGTTTCTGCCAGCTATTCTTGGGTGTCCCGGGACCCAGGAATAGATACGCCACGTTCCACCCTGCGGCTAAAGTCGCGTTCACAACCTATGCCTACCCATCGTCTTCCCTCTTGATCCCTCTCTTTCTGTTTTTACCATTCTCCCATTCTGGCGACGAAGCCTTCGCCGTCCGACGCCTCCATTCACGTATCACCCGCTATGCGCCCCGCGACGCGACGGCGCCTTTTCTCATATCGTTTCCCGACTCCCGGACGGCAGGACAATTTTTTTTTAAATTACGCCTCACGTTGGATTACTTCGGAATCCTCTTAAGGAAGGATTTTCCTTCTCATTGAGGTATGTGTTATGTCTTATCACTTTATATATATACACGTGCGTTGTATATCACGTCAGTAATATATTAAACGTGTATATATATATAAACAGGAGATTCAAATTAAAACGCCTTTAAGGTACATATCAAGATTGCCCAATGATTCTTCGTGCATAGGTCGTGTATAATGAATTAAAAAATAAATAATATTTAACCTTGTCTTATTTTAATTATTTATAATTATCTTTTTAAATTCGCAGCGTATAGCATCGGTATCGCTATACTCGTAGTAGTTCTTTACAGGGAGAATCGACGCATTAGGCTGAACTTGTCGCATACGAGAAAACGACAAGCGTCCGAGAAGCAGAAAAAGATGAAGAGAGTAACGATGAAAGAGAAACAAGGACGGGGAGATGTACTCACGCATGGACGACGGCTGTTAGGCCTTACGCAAGCGGTGCTGAAGTGTACGTGGGGATTCCTTATGGCGCCGGCCGTCTGCCGTACTCACAGACACGTATAAGCGAACTAGCTTCTACACGATCTCACGAATAGTATTAGTGGCGAAGCATGGCAGCTTGTAGCGTCTCTCGGCGTCGTGCATGCCTGCTACTCACCAAACGGTAAAACACCAAGGAGAGACGCGAGAAATCACCGACCTAACCTGTCCCAGCTAGTGTTGGATACGCAGCTGCTGCCATCTGAGGAAGTACTAACTGATCTAGGAATTTCGTCCATTTTTAAATAACCACTCTGAATCTTATTCAAGTCATATCTATACGATAATTATTTTTCTAAGTTTGTTTACCATTTTATATCGCTCATTCGTTGCGTCGTCACCAGATACGTTTCATTCAGTGGCATGTGCGGGATATGTACGAACTTAAAAATAGCTTTTGATTGACAGAAAACTCGCTCTATTGGCAACCCTGAAGGAATTCTGGCGCGACTCGTCATCCTCGAGGATAGTCGAAGGTGTTCATGTATCAAGGGAATTTATGATGTCTTATTATGAAAATACTTGATTATTCGACTGTTTAAATCGGACTATATATATGAAAGTGTAAATATTAATGGTAGTTGACGATTGACTTTACCACGGTTTCAAGCGTGACAGTTTTATCGACTGAATATTTCTGAGCTTCGAGCGCGACCTTACACTCTCGAGATGAGTTGAAAGGTCGCCATGTGGCCTTCCACTCGTACAACGAAAAGAGGATCTTTACTCGAGATGCTTATGTTGAATAAAAAAATAAAAAGCATGTGAGCCAGCGACTATTACAGTGACGAAGAAGAAACTTTTGAGAAATAAGAATCACGTTTGTAAAGAAACGTTGAAATTTTAGTGCAAACAATTTTCTATGCCCATTAATCTTCATGGTTCGATATTAAAAGTCAATTTCAATAATTATACTAGATTTTCATATAGATATAGATTTCCTGAGAACGTTCTTCAGGAACCTAGAGTATCCTAATACTACCCAGAGGTCGCCGTCGAAGTGCTTAGAATTTCAGTGAGTTATTTCACAATGGATTTGATCCTTTCGACCTGCGGGGTTGACAAACTAAACTTAGTAAGTCGCAAAGGGTCTGGAACCCTTTACAAATCGCCCTTACAATTCCCTACGTAAAGTCCCGTCCACACTGAAATGCCTTTATCCATTTCAATTTGAAGAATACAGAAAGATTTATTACCTTTCTATCTCGTTAACCTCAAAATTGTATTATTCAAATCTGTTTTGCACTTTTACAAAACGTTGAAATATTTTTTTAAGGAACTGGTTCATATCTCTCCACAAGGATGGTTGATGCGAGATGGATCCCGGTGCCGAGTTTGTGACGCCTGTGCCTAACCAAGTGCGTGCACATCACGCACTTATGTACATACACGTATCCTCGGTTAACACCCCGCAGCAGGCAGTCAGGCAACAAGGCATACGCGCATAAATGCGACAGGAGAAAATCGCCGGTATCGGTCGAACGATGTGAACCAATGGCGTAACTTGGTGGATCATTATCCACACGTATAAAGCTGATACATAGGGCATTTATCTAGAACCCAGCTGGCGGCGACCTTCCATAACCCACGCTTGTAAAAACACGGCTTCCCCCGTTAACGCTCGTGCCTGCAGCACATATAGACAGATACGTGTTGCTGTTGTTGACCGCCATTGTTCTTGTTCAAGTAGCCACATACGAAGGAGAGAAATCCTGGCTTAGGTATGATACATCAATATGCTTGATAGATATAATATTAATAATAAAATATAAATTAAATTATGGCAGTAATAAAGAGATATCACGCAATTTGATTCCAATACTATTTTTTCATTTCAGGAAAACCATCCTGTTAGCTTCGATGAAGGTCTACGTGTTCCTTGGGGATATTCGCTTTTGATAATTGAGTTCTATCTAATCCTGTCATCGATCCTCTCCGAGTTCACTGAAACCGATATATAACCTCGCATATGTTTTACAAAGCAATGATAATATATATGTAATATGTATTGATATCTAGTTTGTAAACGAATTCGTGTTACAGGTACATTTACAAAAGGATAAAGTGCATATAACGAATTTGCGTAGAGAAACGTATAGCGTGAGAAAAGAATGATGTGTAAGCAGCTACGTGTGTGGTTAACCCCCTGGATTCAAATCTTTAGGAACTTACTGTGTGATATATTTATATATTGGTATATCGTAGCGTCTTCAGTTTTCTTATTATATTAGTTATATATACATATATTAATGTATAGTCACTCTCGGTAGTCTCCTTATAATAATAATAATGCCGCTTCTGATACGGTTCTAAAATACGTCTCTCCTTGTCTGTTCGTCTCGACGTCAGGGAGGACGCCTCGGTATTCGTGTCGGTCGCCACGACGTCGCCAACCAACCACAGAATGAATATATTAAACACGATCTTTGCCGCAGATTCTGAATAAATGGAACAGTAAGATGCCGGAAGTGTCTATGGGTACAGACAGTAGCTCCGTGGACGACGTAATCGATGCCTGATTCATCGTGGAGATTATACGATAATTTACTATCAAGATTTACCAATCCATTTTGAAGATCGTCAACGAGTCTCAGAAGATATTAAAATGATTGCACGAGCAACAAGTCGCCAGTTGCCATTTACGCTCGGCAAGAAAATATTAAAGAAAGAGACAAGATGGTTGGAGACTGGCGCTGCTTGCATATCGTGTTTTAATAATAAGAAACAGAATTAAGGACGCTGCGGTTTCACTCAAAGGCCACGTGGACGCCGAACTGGCAGTTCCCTGCTCATTATCCTGTCGCCGGCAGGAGAATATCTTCCTATTCACCAGACGCCATCTTGTCCTCCAAGTTTGGTCCTTTAATGTCACGGATTCCTTTTCACTGGGTAAATTCTTCTGTTGTTATTGAAATATAAGAAGCTTGAGGCGATCTGAAAATATTCTAAAAATTTCTTTACTCATTACTTTCTCCCATCTCATCAGGTCCAGGATTATATATCACCTTGGTGTATTTCGTAGATACGTGGGTGTGATCGTCGTCATCCGGAGGAAGGTCGATCAACTTTCACACAGAGGTTTAAAATTGCCAGGTGTAAGAGCATCATGCCAGGTGTATCGTAATCAGTTCAGTTCGGATTAATTTTACGAGCTAATCAAGACTCCACAGCGAACCATCACTGGTACCAATCTTGCAGTCTGAAAGTACAAGCGAGAAAGGATCGGTGAGGTTAATTCCTAATTAGGGAATTGTGCAAAAAAATAAAATAATTCCTTATCCTATAAAATCTCGCTCGAGCCACGCGATTTAAGAGCACCTTGCTTCCGACGCTTCTTTTATTCTTTTCCACCTTCTTTACGTGCCCGATGGTGGCTGCCCTGTGAGTCTGCTGCAGCACGCCTCTCTTTATGGGAATACGTGGAGCGTTTCTCAGGGGGGCAAAAAATCACGCGAGTCCCCGGGTGCGCTTCTGATTTTTTCGGGGCCGCACCTTGCACGCGGAAGGGTGCCAAAGCAGTCTCAGTTCTTGGGGCCTGGCAGATGGCCAGCAGATGTCTGCCATCTTGTCCTGATTGTAGGTCCGGACGAAGTCGTCCGTGAAAGGTGGCTATTGCCTGCACGGTAACCTCTTCTGCCGTTGATACCCATAGATGATCTCAGTACCAATTCAATATCAATATCTTCAGCAGGAATCGCACATGGAACATCCAGAGGGATCCTGAAATTTCCAATCCTACAAGAGTTTATCGATATACGACCCATTGCCCAGGAAGGGCTCATCTTGCTCTGGCTATGAGAAAAACCTGAGAGTTTCGGATCCTTTGTCTGCCCTCCATGGAGCCGAGCACCTGCCCACCCTGGCAGCAACCTGCTCGGCATTCTCTGGCCCTTCGTCCCTCCCAACTACTTCAGGAACCGCCATAGGAGGATTGGACCACCTAACCTACCCGTCCCATACTTCCAGTTTCACCTCGGTACCCTCCTCCTCGAAGACTACCGACGTCTCACTAATACTCCTTGGACCCAATCCTGGACTAGACGGTCTTCCTATATTTCCTGCGCTACGGTTACCTTGACTAATACTACTACGTCTACTATTACTATCTACTACTACTGCTACTACTAATACTACTGTAGAAGACGAGGCGAAGGCACTGACTGCGGTGGGTACCTCTCTTCACCCGGGATCCCCGGGCCACCTTAGGAGGTTATGCTCCCAAACTCAGGTGAATAACCACCTCGTTCCTTAGCCCGCATCCACACCGGCCTCAGAAAACACTGTTATTACTCGATCTTCGGAAGAAGACCCAAGAGTCTATACTGTAACTTTACTCCAAGTGTTACATATATACATTACACAAAACATAAGTCCTCCGATGTGCTCTAGAAACATATAATCTTTCATCACAAACAGATTGAATCGATTCGAACAATTTTTTAATTTATCCATAAGTTTTATTACATTTACATAATATAATGAACTTGTCGGTTGTCCATCTAGTTTATCTACACAGATTCGCCGCAGTGGGTTACGGGGTTGGTTGTACTCACTTGGTGTGTTGTATATACAGGATATGTAGGCATATGCGTAATAGGCAGAGCGTTCCATGTCACGTGCTTCCACATAACGTGCTCAGTCATATACATGCTCGTAGATAGGTAGGTAGGTAGGTAGGTTGGTTGGCGTTCGAGTTGCTAGGCGACCAAACTCCACGCTCTTTCCACTCTGAAGCCCAGCATCCCTTAAACAGTCCACTTCCATCCCATCCCGAGCAGCATCCCACCCTCAGCTTTCCACCCTGTACACATTCACCCTGCACTGGATCAATGCGTCCAGGCGAGAATCCACTCTAGATGTGTATAGAGAGTTGGAAAGATAAAAAGAGACAGAAAGTAGAGTCAAGAAACGATCAGAGAAAGAGAGTATTTCAAATATTTCTATACGTATAATATACCATACTCCTATATCCTGTATTAACATGGAATAATGATTAACCTGAAATTAGCGCTGGTATCAGTCGCTACCACCTTCAGAACAATTAACCGAGACTAGACGTGTGCCAGCATCCATCACCTTGGCTGCAACCGGACCAATAACAATGCTTCGAGTAAACCTCTGTATTATTCATCCAATGATCTGACGAATCACCCGGAAGTAGAGGAGGAAAGTAGTTTTATCCGGATCCATTCGTAGCGGAAATTCTGACAGCATCCTGCATTCAACTCTGAAGTTAGGGGATTTTCGAAAAGGATCGGAGAAACCGCGTTGTCCTTTGTAGCTGGTGTTCCTTTCTCTTTCCTATCTTTATCCTTATCCGATTCTCTCTCGCTCTTCCTCCCTCGCTCCTCGGGCTCCTTCTCAGGCAGAATATTAAAACTGTCCTCTCCGCGCCTGGCATTTCCACTGGCTGGGATATAAATGCCGTGCCGACCTACCCTTTACTACCCTTAGCCGCTAGTACCAGCAGGTTCTCACATCAAGAGCACAAGGGTATAGCGTGAGGTGGTAAGAGAGGGTCGGGATTCTGTACTACGTAATAGTCACCGGGATGCTGTTCGAAATGGCCACCGTCCTCTGCTGTGCGAGCTAGGTTATGACCTGAATAGCAGATTACCCGTTTACGAGGCAACGGGCTAGTTTCCACCATTTTATTGAATTCAGAGAATTCTTCTTATTCCGCATCTCGCAAAACTCTTCGCTGCACTTGACTCCTCTGTCATCTCTTATTTCTCCTATTTCGCTGTCCTTTGAAACCATCCCTCTTTTTTATATTTCTTTTTTCGTCTGACACTCTTCTTGCCTCAAATTCCATACCTTTTCTCCTTTATTTATTTTTCATTTCATGATCTCACTCTTTACTTCTTCCAGGGAGTAGTCAAGTAGTACAATAAGATGTGCCAAGGAGGAATCAGAAAATATAGGGCGTCAAAATCTCCAGGTAGTAGTAACGAAGGAGGTTGAGGATTTCACTCTCGGTTATTATTTTCTCTGAAATTGGGTGGTCCAGTTCAGGGAAGATTATCTTCATCTAAAAGACATTTTTTTATTTTTGATAATATTTTTCTTTCTGCCTTGTATCAATATCTACTTATCCTACTCTCTTTCTCTTTGGCAGTTCTACTTAGACTTTACGTTGGGCCTAGTACGTACGTTATACATATCCACATTGGATGCTTCGAGGATGCTCTCCCGACTGATTACTAGGGTACTTGCTTTTTCAACCCTTAGAGACGTCACGCGAGATGCACACGATACTGCACAATGCAGCTAACCTTTGAACTTGTCAGAAGTGTCTCCTTAAACCATCCCTTACACGTCAGCCAGAGTTAGTCGTCAGCACGGGTGCCTCCTGATAAGGTGAATTCAACTGGAACGCACTTTATAATACAGTAAAAATAAATGAGTACAGATAGACTATATAAATTTAATATTATTATTTAGTAATATTAATGAGACTTACACCATTTAAGCCAGCGCGCTATTTACGTCACATGAAGAATACCTAAAACCCACCGCGCACCAATCTCAAGGGATGGAAGGGTGTTCCAGAGAGGAGGAACTAGAAGGGTTGCGTTGTGAAGGACCCGAGGGACTCGACAAAGTATAGGGATGAAAGAGGGCGAGAAACAGAGGAAAAACTTCAAGGGTCGATTATAATGATTAAAGATACCATCCTCATCCACAGGGAGGGACAAGCCCCTGCCTACTTGCCAAATGGAAGGAATCGATCGAAAGTCTGGTGAAAAAGATTTCTTGAATAATAAGATAAAACTTGGCACTCCGTCGGGGAGATGTATATAGCAGGAAATCAAAATCGACTTGAAAAAAATAGAATGAGGTCCTAAATCGGGCTGAAAACTTGTCGGCAACCTTTATCAAGGATCCCCATTGCCATTAGTGGTTTCCCCGCATTATGCGAGCTCTTCCTTTTTATTTTTTGCCCCCATCGTTCCATCTCACTCGCTCTCGAAAGATATCCTATAACCATCAAAGAAGAGCACAGCATCCTACTCCACTTCTGGCATTAACCAGAAACTTTATACCTACCTACCTACCTACTAGCTCCTCTCTCCTTCCTTTCCCAACCATCTACTGCTACCACCGCCGCCATTTTTTCTCCTCCCCCGCTCTAGCCTTGCTCCCTTATCCTGTAGTAAAACCCCTGGAGCCCCTCGTCACCATGTGTGCCAGGGATATGCCCCGGGGATCCGCGAGCAGCATTGTTCCCTTTTGCTTCCTGGATTCTTTTTTATCCACTACCCCTACGTTCATTTCTGAGCCAAGCTCTGTCCTTTTCCTTTCCTTCCCTCGCTCTACTCTGCTTCGTCTTCCTCTCTCCTTCTCTGTTCTTTAATCTTCCCTATCTTCATCCCACTCTATTGTACTTCTCGTTCCTTCCTTTTTTCTACTTTCTCTAGTTTACGAGGACGTATTTCCTGCCGCGATACCGGCGCACGAGCGAACAGCCATCCCGAGGTATAACCTTTATGGGGTCTTCTGAAATTAAACGAACCTTGCGCCCCCGTGCACTGTGTTGCAGCACGAGCCAGCCTTAGCCAACTAAAGGGAATACTATCCCTGCTGATATACCATTCCCTTATACGAGGGAAAAGACCAGGCGCTTCGGATGGGATACCCGCTTTCTTGGAAGTGCCTTGGTAATTTTCAGAATCTCGCTGAACTTCTTTTTAGTCTGCTTCTTTAAGTTGATTCTTTTCTAGCTGCTCTCTCTAGACCGACGTTATTGATGTGATAATTCCATACGTAATTATGTAATTAAGGAATTAAGGCAGGAGGATTTTGTTTTCATGGTACATCTTCAATTTATCCATGGGTAGCTCTGTTCTTCTTATGGGACTTTTTACGCTCTGTGCTTTTACACCTTCCGCCATTGTTAAAACCACTCGGCTTTCTTTATAAACGGATCATCTTTGTCGCGTCTTTGAAGATGGCTCACCTTCTTTTTTTCTCTCCTCTTTTCATACTCCCTAACGCTAAAAGCTATACGCTCGTGTCCCCGAGCCTTTTATTCTCTGCGTCATTACATGGTATCGCGGCTCCGCCACGATGACATCAGGCTGCCAAAGGGACTCTTGTCATACCCTTGTACAGATCAGATGACGAATACCAGGAAAACCAACGTACAACCTATTGGAGATATCATTGTATTTTTTTTTTTTGTAAATCCAAATTGCTCTTATAATAATAGATATAAAACATGCCTTTACCTTTTTAATCAGTGTTTCTATTTCTCTTGTAATTTTTCACTGTATTCAGTGATTTTCTAAATCACTCAGCTATTCAATTCATTTACGTAATTATTTTAATTCAATTCCATTCACCATGGGAAATATCATGTTTCCATTACCTCTGTATATGGATGAGGGTCGCGATTGCTTTGAAATGGACCGCTACGTCGGTCAGTTATGCAATAGCGAGTATTGATTATCTGTCAGTAACAGACAGCACAGCCCAAGCCGTCGATTAGGCTATCAAATTATTGAATCTCATGAATAAAAGTTATTTGAGATGTGAATCTCTTGTAGAACGGTTCACTGAGTAAGAGGCTACCAGAATTACTACTCTGAGTCCTAAGGGTTATAAGTACCTACTGAGCAACCCCATTGAAGTCTCAGAATAATAATTTTTCACTGTATTCCCTTTTGCTCCCTTCGACTCTTACACAGTCTTCCTTCCCTTTTTTTCTGTAGTTCTTCTTAAGAGTCGTTATAGGCAACGGGTCTAGGCCAGCTCCAGGAAGCGTCTCTCTAGGAACCCGTTGCGGTCACAAAGCTTTGATCCTCTCCATCAGCTTAAGAACTTCTCGTCTTCCTGGAAGCTCTTCCACTCGGCTTCTATTCACTTATATCTTCCAGATTCCAAGAAGGCAGCACAGTCATACAGAGAATTCGGTTTTCAATGAAACGAGTCACTAATTAATCTACAACTTACTAAGGAATCAAAGATTTAAAAAAAAATCCAATCCGATAACCCAGCCCCAGTGAATCAATAAAACCTTTCATTTCATACCTTAGCAATAATAAGCAATTTGGATCAACCATCCTGAAATCGCAGCCCCCTTATTTAACTGCTGGATTTTAACGCAGGTGATACGGAGTTAAATCTCTAAACGCATCCCAGGACGAGGTCGATGCGAGCACAAGGTTGTAAAGTGGCACAATGCACCAGCATAATATTCCAGATCTTCGCCAGCCCTGAAGCCGTTCCACCCCATCACAACTACCAGGTACTACAGAGACGCCCCTGAAGACCACTTGCATTGGGCATATATACGTATGGTATCCCATGACACGCTTTTCAGATTACGACTGAGCCATTCCACTATTTTGAAATTACCAATAGCCGCAGGTATGGTAACCAATAAGAATGCCGCTCTTGCTACTGGTACCAGTTCATAATGGTACAAACGGAAAGTTAAATCCTTTTGAAGTTTCTGAGTAGTTTCATTGAAGGAGCTCCGATGCAAAGCCACCAGGTAGGATTTACATGTAACGCCGTACGGACGCCCATGGATTTCAGTCTTACAATCCTGAAAAGTTTCTTAGATGTAAAACGTCCTCTAACGACGACTTTTGCTATTCTATGGTATCATACGTGACTTACTGTGTATATACTTATGTAACTACCTATTGTATATGAATAGATGTCTATATATGGATATATGCTACCAGGTACCTATAACACATATATGTATATATACCATCGGTGAAGTATCAGAACGGTACTGCTGCACCAACTTCCAACGTTTTACGACTTACGTGCTATGCGTCGGCTTCCACGCTTTACGTTTACGTCGTACGTTACGTTATGCCCTCGTAACTCCTTCCGAGCGTGTCGGTTGCACTGGTGAAACTCAGCAACCCTGAGGGCGGCCATGATGCCCGCGTTAAAGCTCCTTGAATTATAATACCACGATGCTGCATTCGATACCTCCTGAAAGCATGGAACTGCAAGATTTTATTCTGAAGAAGTCGGGTATGAATTTTGTATTTACATATTGTCCTAGGGAGGTCATGGTAAGCACTTAATACTTCAAATGGCGGAGGGTTCCGTAAAAACTGACTGTACTATTGTAGAAGCTAAATACGATATCTGAACGTGTACTACGGATTTTACGTTATCGAAGATCCTATTGCGTTAAAGTGTTGCTGTTATGTATATTAACCGCGAATAAATATGAAATTTCAAGTCTGACGTGGAAGTGATCACACCAAGTTTTAATGAAAAAATAATTTGACGAAAAGCTTCTTGCCTCGGCTGATGTTGCCAGAAAATAGCTACGGTGGCCTCCTATCGAAAATCGCGAGAGATTTTTTAACTAATGACTGGGGACGAACTTTTCTGACTTTTAATAGCAATTAACAAGACTCCATTTACTTTTGTCTATATTAATTATAGCGGTACTTGGTATCGGTACATCCATTGATTTTATGTCAGATCTCAGTCACCAGGATATATTCAATGTAATGGAAAACATCGTGGAGGTCTCAAGCAGTTATAGATTAAATTTTATGCTTCAATCAAATATGTAGTTTTGTAGGCAAAATATAGAATTTTTACTTGAGTAATTTTCTCTTAAATAAACCGGTTCAGCTACTCATATACTATGCAGTATCTAACCTATAAAGCGCTATTTGTTCTCATCCCCTATATTCTCATCCCTACCTCAACGTCTCGCCACCCTCGTCTAACGGAATGGAGTCTGCGCTCAACTTCTGACACGGTTTAGAAACCTTCACGTGTTCTGTGCTCCTGGTTACTTACCGCCTGTTCCTTTTCTTCCTGGACAACTTAGCCCCCTCCCGATTACCACTCTCAACCCCTGACCCTTCTAAGCTACCCTCGTCGTCTCGACCTCTCTGCACTTTTCTTTTCCTCAATCGCAAATTTTGTACCGCTATTTCTGCCCAGTATAAAACTCTTCATCGATCTCGGATCCCATAGGAGGTTATTGTTTTAAAAATTCAATGGTTGAATATAGGTATTTACCTTGATGAGAATCCTTTACGTAAAAGGTAACTCATCTCCTTCTTAGGGTGTTCACAGTTCCTGGAGAATTCTCGATCAAGTAAGCGATGCCAGGACACGAGGAAAATCCGCATACCTCCACGGGGGTTGCGTTCCTGTGAATTAGGCGCGGGTTTCTTCGACACTACGGGGTATCCCTAGGGAAGAGACTGGGTCATCCTTATTCCCGTATCCGGGGAAAACAGCCTGCCGCCACTTCATGGGTGCCTGATAGAGAGTTCCCGGAATTTCGGGCAAATTGCAGTTTTTCTGTCCAATGATCACCCAGCACCCCTACCTGGCTCACCTGGATTTCGACAGGTGTATCCTGGCCCGGTTCCTAAGGGATGATTTCATCTCCAACTGGATCCATACAGCCAAATTCAGGACCTCGGTATAACGATCCTCGGTAGCCCATCGACCTTCTCTCTCCCGGGGGTTGACTCTGCGGGAGGAGCCTTCCAGAGGATGTTGAGCACACTGTACAGTTGCTACCCTAAAAATAATTATTCCACTTATTTAACTGAGGACTCACATCCACCCCTTCGTAATTTTCCTGACTTTCCTCTTGGATTCTTCCGTTCCTTCGTTGCTCAAGTAGGATTATGTTCTATTCCACCTCACCGTTTCCGGAAATAGCGGATGCCATTCTTGCAGGAAACGTTGAAAGAGAATGACAGCTTCCTGTAAAATTAGGAAATTATAGAACGAAGGAAGTACAACGAAGGTCTTTCGGGTAGGAAGACAGTGGATAATATCGGAAGTGAACTGGTGGAAAAATTCCGACGAGGGTTCTCCTTCACACGGGAATTTCAAGACTCCAGCACAATCGAGAGTCGAGAAAATAGGGACTCATGAGATAACAGCTGGATATCCTCGGGTTGGTATGCATTGCATATGCGGAAAATTTTGACCACGACGAAATTGCAACACCGAGATAATTTGAATAATGCGAACCGAAAGAGATAAGACGACAGTGGGATTTTCTAAGAACATCTCTCATCATTTCCACCGACAATGGTAATTAAAACGACCCTGTTATGCAATGATTTATCTTAAATATACCCACGAGTATTAAATTCCTTATACGTTTATTGAAAACTACGTGGGATCATTACTCGGAGTGGGCAGCCAGATACTGATGCAATGCTTACCACATTTTATATAAGTGTGTAGATAAGTACACTGGGTGGACCGTGTGAAAAATCTGAGTAGCTCGACCCAGGAAAACTATCCTGCAGGATAGAAAACCACCTATCCCAGTTTTCCTCCTACCGGCATCGCATGTCTTCCTAGTCCCTGTGGAAATTCGTATTCCCGTCAATGCAATTTCCTCCAGCGAGCATGGACCTTGTGCCTGGATGAGGGTTGCACTAGGTCGTGGCAAGAGTACCAATCCGGTTCTGAGCGCCTGCTCACGGCGTGCCGCATTTCGGGACGAAAACGTCGCCTTTCCGGGAAAATCTCTGGCAAGGTTAGTAACCGTCAATCTTCCCACGGGAACTGCAGAATTGGGAATAGACTTTGCTTCTCGCGGTGTTATTCTCCTGTTAAAGGGCCGCTTGAATTTTTCGTTAGAATCTCATTTCCTCCGGAAAATTTTTAACCAATTCCTCTTCTGATGGACTCCGGAGGATAATATGCCGAGGAAAAAAAATCTTGTGGGAACACGGAAGATCCCTTTCACTTCCACACCCTCCTGGGTTACGCTACGTTGTAGTGTGTACTATCCTTTTTCGTCGCTCTGAAGATACCCAGAAACGAGAGACGTTCCATTCGCAATTCCCTAGGTAGCTCTGAGACGAATTATTGCTCCAGGAAGAACGTTCTCGCTACGTGCTCTGCCATCCTGATACGCTTGCCCGGGATTTTCGAGCATGGTTTTCCACCCCAGCATTTTCCGGGATGAAAAGGGATCAACCCGGGAAAGACTTCTCCACGCGCAGTATATCCTGATGCATCAGGTGGCGCTGTCTGGGGTTTGTCTCCCTAGGGAATCCGAGTAGCAGCTTTTACCATTAAGAATCTCTTTCAGGAACCTACCAGGATAAGACACTTTCATCTACTGGGATTATCTACCTTGGGTCGTATATAGTCTATGTATACCTGACCTATTGGACAGTTAGGTCATGATATGAATAAATAATACATCTATTCTGGATTCGCATCTCTTTGAAAGAGTAACCCGAGACGGTTCAGAAGTCACTGGTAGATGATTTGCAATCACATAGTCGTGGCCCACTGTGAAAACAAAAGAAAAACAAAAGTTGAGTGGGTACCGGATGTTGGAGTGTCGCCAACGGCAAAGATAAAAGGTGTGTCTCATCGATCGTACCACCCTGAGGAAATTAATTGATCGATCGATCTCTTCCGCAGGGAGTCTCTTTAATTTAAGCCCCAATTAAGATACATCCGGGGACAGAGAAGAGAAGACGACTACGTGAAAAGGGCTTATCGTCTCGTGTAACGTTGGTTGCTAAGTGATTAGGGGGTGACTCTCGTAGAAGGGACTCCAGAGACTAGGCTTCGTCCTCGGGAACCTCACTCGACGAAATCCACGTTCTAGACAGAGTATGGAACTATCTGATAGTCTCTAACATGGCGCGCCTTTTAACATAGCCAAGTTCCACTTAGATTGGACTGCCAGAGAGATTGCACATGGCTGGCACTCACTTTCGCATTTCATTCAGACTTCTCTACCGAAAGAACTAGAAGACTTCCGGCAGTGCATGGACGGCTTGATAAACTCACCTATTATAATGAAAAATAAGGAGAACGACTAATGGTTATTGTAAATTGGATATCGTGAAAAATTAAATGGACGCCACGTAAGGATTTTCCAGAAAATTAAACAAACCTTAAGTCAGTGAGCCGAAAAATTTTGAATTTCACCAAAAATATAGCTCCGCATTTTCTCGTTCTGCCTCACCCTGATTTATTGTACTACGGATCCGTTTCACTTTGTTCCATTGGTCGTTTCTCTTTATCGTGTGGGCGCACGTGTGCCTACCTCTAGTTCCTTTATATACCAGTATGTGGATATATCTTGACTTTTATATATACATATATAGCACAGACGTTATTCATTAAATATACTATAGATAGCATGGTGGGTGTACGTATACACAGGTGAAATATATGCGTGACGTGGCGAGGTCGTGCAAGGCGAGCAACCTCACGCAGACATCTGAAAGCCAACGACACACTCATGAGACTCCTACGATTATTATTCATCGAATGCGTGTTTATTAAATACCTAGCGTGTGTCCCGGCGAAGCCGGGAAACACCTATCCGGGCCGCTGTGATACGTGGGTAGGGGTATTCCAACCGGTAACTCCTGTTCGCACGGCAGGCCCACAAGGATAGAAAGGTGTCTGGCCGGTACAGACTGTTTTCTGCGGTTGAAGCTGTTTGCCTGAACAATGTGGAAATACAGGGCGTCACAAAAAGTATTTAGCCTTCGTTTGAAACTCCCAGTAATTACCTGTTGATACGTATACAAGAAATTTCATTAGTAAGTATAAAGTGAATATACCTTTGAATTAAATATTTCTGAGACAAAATTTTACTTAATGACACCTTGGGAATCCTTTGAATACATCGATATAACGGAAAGTAGTCAGTACATTGGAATTTATCATGTACGCGTTATTTAGCAGATTGATATAAGAATTTAGGTTACAGCATGATGGTCGTCCCGAGAAGGCCTCCAACGACTTTCCGCGTGGTCGAGCTCGAAAGTCAACCTGGTTGGATAGGCTATCCTAAGACGGAATGCTGTGTGGGACGTGGTGGAAATAGTCCTGTACAACCCACGCCGATTTATTTCTGAGTCGCATTCGATTCCAGGCACGGAGATTCCTGGGGAAGCTATTCGTACTCCTAGATGGATGCTTGTCAACCAGTTACTCAGAGTATATCCTTCTGAAAGCAGTAATATCTTTAGGTCGACGCTCAAGATTGGCCTAACCTAACTGTAAAACATAATAGCGCTCGGTGAGTAATAGATTGGGCTGTGGAGCAAAAAGAGCTGATTAACGATGTCATGCAACGTTAGAGTATCGTCCTGGGAGTCGACGTCTCGCAGCCAATAAACTGTAATAAACCAGAAACGGGAGGCGATACTACAAGGGTGAATCTCTTTTGGCTGACATACCTCAGGAATATCTTTGATTATCATATCCTATACAGATTCCTTCTATATGCTGGCGTAATAACACCGTAAAATTCCCAACTGAAAATATTCTTCGCTAGCAGAACCGCAATCGCTCGTGTGAGACCAACCTCAGTCTTTAAAATCATCTTCTCTGCTGCATTACGAATTCCTCAGCTCCACCTAGATAATCAGTTTCTCTTCCAGAACATGTTTACTGATTCTATGAACGTGGAATCCTGATACCATCTTGTACAATAATATCCTTGTCTTAGGTATGTATGCATTAGCAATTACCAATGGTAAATTCATTGGAATTGACAATTATTGTTCAGGTTTATTATGATATGGTCACAATCTGGAAGGTAATAATAAATATTACATACAGTCAAATAGTGTACAAGTACAATGCTTTGTATTTTGTTGCATTGATTATCAATGGATAAAAGAAAGATTTTCTGTCAGTGCTCAATAAAGAGCGAATCGTAATATATATATATATATATACTTGTACGATATAGGATAACATTATAAAAAATATGTATGTATATGTGACTCAAGTATTTCCTAGTAAATAAATGTGCGACGACTATCTTACCTAATCATGTCTCAGACAATTCCAAGAAATTCATTCGCTGTTTTTCGACTAAATCACATCGTGATAACAACTCGCTTATCTTATCGGGTTAAAGATGTTTTGTAACGCTTTTCAGTAGTAGCGGCGATTCCATGCATGTAAATCCAAACTAGCACTCATGACTTGTGAATATTACACATGGCGAATGGACACTATATTAGGTACATAATGAATACCACAGATTTATCGCCAGGCCTTAAACATCAAATCAAGAGTCTTAGTGCCACTCCTAGGGAATCTCCGGGATCAGGGGATGAGTAGTTAACATCAACGAGGGTATAGCTGGTATCCCAAAATGTTAGGGACAACAGTTAAGGTGGTCAGAGAGAGAATAATTCAAAGACATGGGAGAAGATGGATCGATCTCAGGAGAATTTCCAATCCCATAAGTTTTCCCTGCGTTGTAGTTGAACTTCCTCCTCCTCTCTTTTTACAGGAATCAAATTTCCCAGGACCATATCCCTCGTCGATAGCGCATTAAGCTTGCCTATGAAGTTTCTTTTAGGGTACTATTTTATAGTAAGGCATATATATACTATATATACAAACAACATATTCCTTTTCTTTTTTTACTTTTATTTTTGATAAAACTTCTTTTAATTTTTAACACGTCGCACCGTGAACTCCTAACCCCTTTCGCTTGGCTCGAGTCATATACATACGTCACCAGGCTGGACTCTGACATGGCGCCACACAAGCATTGCTTATCGTATATAGCAATCATCTTCCCTCTCTTACGCTTTTTAACGTTCCACCAGGTTCCACTGTCCTCTCTCTCTCTCTCTCTCTCTCTCTCTCTCTCTCTCTCTCTCTCTCTCTCTCTCTTGCTCTTGATACACTAGAATCTTGGGAAATATCGTTCAACCATTCCTCCTGTTTTTGTTTGCTGGGCTAATACACACCGTGATCATCCTCTGTACCAGCATCGAGGGAATACTAGTATCAGTCGTATGCAATCATATCACGTAGTCACTGGATAGTTAAATATTTATATCAAATATATATATATATATATATATACTACTTATATGAGACATTGATACGATATGGCCGGGTTACTCGATCGGATGACCTTATTAAACTGTTATTAAGAATAAAATAGACTTTTCTTTGGCCATTGTGTATTCTTTTGAATCTAGCTGTCAATATGGCCGCGGCCTTCCCACCTTATGTCAGTTGAGCCTCGTGTAGATCGTGAGGATAAAGAAATCTACAGGGATCTTTACTAGATCTATTTTCTTAAGATTAGAACGTAGTTTGCTTGGTTAATATACTTCATTGAACTTGGTCAATTAAATAATTAAGATTCTGTCGACTCTTTTATAAACTACACGTGGTTATTTTTACGATAAAAAGGATCTGTGAATTTTCTTTCTTCGTGTCTATTTTGTGCCTTTGCTTTTATTACTTTGAAAATTGCTTTTTATTTTTTGATTAACTTCACAAGAAAATACAGTGTTCGCGATCAGTGACTGCAAATATTCCAAGGACCTCTTGAAATACTCAGGTATGCTCATTACGTACAAGATAGTTAGGTTAAACTTGTAGAGAAATTCATAATTTTATCAAAGCATCCTTTGCTAAAATATTTAATCCATGTCATATATATGCCATTTGAAAAAATCAAGTGTTTCTTGATTAGTACTTTAAATCTGAAGAAAATCGAATCTGATATAACTCTTCAGTCGTGTCACTGCTCCCTTCTAAGAATTTCATTATCACGGTCGCAACGACCGTCGTGTTTATCGTTATCATCATCTTTCAATTAGCAACATTTAGCGGTCAGTTATAGGTATTTGAATTTGCACATTATTTGTTTACCAATCGCTCCCAGAAATATTATTACCTAATTCAGGACATAGTACACCTTCCAGGAACGGACGAATCATTTATACGTTCAATATGGAAAAAGACCTTGATATTAAATTTATTAGCAGTGATTCTGACTTAATTGATACATTCTGTAATGATTATATGCATTTTCGGCAACACTGGGATCATTTTATCTTTCACAATCTTGCCAATCATTAAACGAACCAGCAGAACGAACTCATCCCCTGTGGTAGGGTAATTCGGCGTGATTTAATTCGTGGCTTTAGGGACATTTCCCATTTTCATCGGTGAAATAAACTGGTGTGGTGATTTTTATGGTTCTGTCATAATATTAAGGGTAGTTTATAAACGTCGGAAAACACATGAGCTATACTTTCACTGGATTCAAGTTGAGGGATGAAATACGTGTGTTGTATATCTATATATTAATAAACTATAGGTATACGTTCAATGTATTTCGACTCTTGTGGGAACGTAGCGTTGATATACAAGATATCACTGCCATCTGTCGGTTGTTCGTAAACTATAATATAATTACCGGCCGCCTCGCTCTTATGTACTAATAAAAAATAATCAATGACTTCGGATCAGATAAGGTTAACCTTTTTTCTCCCACCCTTAAACTCTTAATTACACGATCTTATCGCGCTTCATTATATGCACACTATACATATAAGAACGAAACGGCGTCACTCGGTCGTTATATCATGGCTACGAGAATTAGTCAGTTTCTTAGAATCGATAGCAAAATATTGGAAAGAGCGATAGGAGCTTCCAGGAAATCGCCGCGTCGCGTTAAGTCATTATTTTCGTATAGTATAGCACATGGCCGTGATAACTAATGCCGATGTGGTAAATGTAGAGACTCACGTATAAAAACAATTCAAACGACCATGAAATCTTTTACGAATACGATACCTGCTTTTCAATTGATCCTAAAATAAAGGAATCGTAATCTAATCAATTCTCAATTAAATACTGAGAATTCAGATATCAGAATTCACTGTACCTACACTGTTATACTTACGCGTACATTTCAATATAGATTGAACTTTCATGCTGTGATACTGAAATTGAAGTCTCATTGAGAATGATTGTCCACTTGAGAAATTATTACTCTCATATCTGGAATTTCAAAGTGCTACGTATTATAGTTTCTTGCTATTTCCGTAGAAAATTTGTGGACAGTTAGGATCTTCGTTTTTGGAATGAAGAGTTTGATCTTGTGTTTTCTTACATTGGTATGTCGTTAATGTTGGAATACGGACATCGAAGGACGTAAAAAGTTTCCTCTTCAAGGCGGATCCTTTACCTTATACTGGAACGGAACAGAACTTCCTCACGTTTTCTATTGCATGGGATAGGATATGTAGGAAGCATCCTAGGATGAGAAAGGTTAGGTACTATGGACATTACTATCTATCAACCCTGCTGGATGGATGTATAAGCTATCTTGGTTTTACTGCATATTGAAGCAATAACCCGCGTTACGGACCCTTTTAGTGCAACTTCCAGTGCGAAAGTACAGAAGGTGCTATATTTCAATGCAGCGTGCAGTTTCCATTGTTCGTCACAAAATAGATGGAGACGGCTTTTAATTATCGTGAAATTACTGACAATGTCGAAGTTTCTATTACCACCAGCTGGTTAAGTGCTCTCTGGTGGCACTGTTATGCTTATGTATTTACCTTACTGCGATACATGATTTGTTTTCATATTATTAATTGGTAACTATGTAATATAGATTTCAATCATTGTTAAATTTGTTTATTAAATTAACATTTATTGAAATTTTTAATAGTTTTGTGGTACTAATATAGTGACTTAATACTTATGAGTATTAATGATAATATTGGCCGTGAATGCCTAAAGTCTGAAATATAGTGATTTATTAATGTTTTGACTTTTTGCAGTTATCATATAGCTGGTGTACTTATATTTTTAAATAGCAAATGTACAATATGAATCCAGAAAATTAATTACTACTCTTCTGGGACCATTGGAGAAATCAGTGGCTGTAAAGTTAAGAGGAGATTGTGGATTGGTGAGTCCCACTTTTTCATTTTCGGGAAAAGCATGTTTTAAACGTTTATTTTAGTGTATTTCATTTCTTTATTTCTCTCATATTAAATAATAATACTGCGCACAACGTGAATACTTGAAATACGTGATTGACAGGTACTTGGTACTGATATCCAACATTCCAGTACAAACATTTGTTTTGTCACGTACTATTCTCGTAAATAATACTTGAATATTTTTTTTACTTAAATACTACACTTACGAATATATTCCAGGGGAGATTCCACATAGTCCTGTTGTAAATTAAATAAATCTGCACTGTTCTTTTGCATATACTGCAAGAACTCATGAAAATGAGTTAGCAATAACTGAATACTTCTCTCATCTAATGGAGTATATGATAGCATACCACCAAGTTTAACTGAAATCATAACATTTTTTCATTTTATGCGAATGAATTATTATGATTATTTATGCAACTTACCAAATAATCTCAATAGATGAAATGCTCCGTACAGTTGGCTAGGCAATGTATCTGGATTCTCATTAATTATTTCTGCATACTGTGGTCGTTCCCATTTGTACAATAATTGTAGACTCAGTGAAGTATTGAAGTACTCGCGAATACCTTTTGTTACTTCTAAGGCACTTTCTCTAAAAATAATATTTCAGTCATCAAGATGAGGTATTGCATCGTTGTTATTAGTCGTTCGAAACCTTTACAAACCTGCTAGGGTCATTAACTTTTCCAGGAGCTCTTGACTCTACAAAATCATCCAAAATTTTGTCAACTGTACTTCTAACAGGTAATTGAGGTAGTTTGTTATTTTTTGTAATGGCCTCCCAGTCATCAACTAGCAAAGCTTTAAGCTCTTCAGGTATCTTAATTTTTATTTCTACTTTAGTATGATATTCTTCTTCTCCTGAAGGTTCCAGTCGACTGCATGATAAATAGGTATACTGTAATTAATATTGTAGCAATGGATAACCATGATATACTTGCCTACGCTTTTTTCGTGGAGGATCCGATGCTGAGTCGTGAGAAGAAGGTGTCAATGATCCACCTGTACTTTTGCTAGGACGACCAATAGTTTTTTCTACAGTGGCTACTGGAGTACTTGCTCTACTGTCATTATCCTTCTCTCTGCCACCCTCACTTCTGCGAGATTGTGCTTTCGATGTAGTACTGCTTTTTTTAGTTTTATGAGTGGGTTGCTGATTGGAATGTGCTCGTTGTACTTCACGTTGTTTTTGCACATTTGTGTCATTGTATTTCAGCACACGACTTTCAGGAACCCATTCGTCCCAACTACATAAAGATTAATATACAAATATGGAAAAATAGTACTGTAAAATAACACAGACTTACTTCTTATTCCATCCTGCATAGTGAATCAAATATTTGATTTGCTTCTCTTTTGTCACAGAAGACTTCAAACATTTTGCTTCATAAATGAGTGGACCATGGAAGCATAGAACCTTTTCACCTAAAATAAATAAAACCAATTTATCTGACGAAATTAAAAACGTTAAGTTTCATGACAATCCACAGTACTTCTAAAGATATAAGGATTTTAAATTATTTAATGTATACGTTTAGATTGTTTAGAATATTGAAAGAAAAAAGAATTTTACACGTGATGACTCACCTTCCTGAAATTTGCACTTTGGTGGCATATCGCTGAGGACGAAGTTTTTTACTTGAAGGAAGAGATTTCAACTCTTATACAAAAGAGCAACTACAAATTTGTGAAAAAAAAAGAGAAAAGATTGGTTAGGCAAGTTCGCGCCTTCGGAACTTTAAAGTCAGTTCATACGAAGTAGCAATCTTGGCTTGGTAAAACTGCAGTCCACATTCCTAACATTCCGATAATACATATGTAGATGTCCGACATAAAACTTCATTTTCGAAAGAATTAGACTTTTTCATCAGATTGCATCAGATGTATGAAAAAACTTTGTTTTATGTGTGTGTTGGATATAAGAGTATAGGAGTTTTTCATTTTAAGACGATTGAATCAAACTCTTAAATTAAGCGCTAATGCTACCATTATTGAAATTCAGTCGTGAGTTTTGATTGTTTCTAACCTCCTTTTTTTTCCTTGGATATGCTTCGTCGATAGTTTGCACAGATCCGTAAACTGACTATAAGGTGTAATTGATTAAATATTAATATTATAAAAATAGAATGATATATCTACTACATTTCACTATTGTCAGCGTGGCTACTTAATTTAAACGAAGTTTTGTCGAACTATGACATAAAAATTACGAAGTCGAGGGGGCTTTGGCTACCTACGCCATTAGTTAGAAACGTAGTAGGGAAGAAGAAACCATACAGATTTTGCCATGAGGCTCCTACCTTGCAATACTTCTTCCCCACCACTTAACTAGCCAATGGCGCAGAAAACAGAAGCCTGCTTTCATTCCAGTTACAATTTTAAAGTGGTGTTCGTTTGACGAAAAATACGTCTGCTTGGAAGAGGTGAAAATGTGTTTTATAATCAACTAAAGGGATTTATAAATTCATCGGCAGATATTGAAAATGGCAGTCTCTTTCTGTGGAAAAAGAATTATTTTAACGAGGACTAGCCTCCTCAAGACACCAAAACGAAATGGATACATTGTACTGTAAGTTTTTAGAATTGTTCATATATTTACTGTAGGTTAGGTTATGTTATTTTTATGATATTTCAAGGGAGTTAATGTACAATGACATTCTTAATTAAGAGAACGTGATAAATTTGTATGAAATAAAAGTATAATTTAACAACTTAGTTTTATTTCTTTGAATATATTATAGTCTTCCTGAAATTGGTGATGACTTACCAGACAAAAATCCTCTCGTTAAGGAAGAAACTGGTTTTCCAGAATTTAATAGCCTATCCATTGAAAAATGCATAGCAGCAATTAGCAAACAATCCATTGAGTTTGAGGAAGGTGTAAAAAAGATTGAAGCATCAATACAAAGTAAGAGCTACATAGTTTCTGTTAATAAAAAAATAAGAATTAATATAAAAACTTTAATAATGTTGAATAATATCATTTAACAAATTGAATCTACAGAAAAGGAAAATCCAGATGTATTTAAAGAAGTGTTAAATCCTCTGGAAGAATTGGGAGTGTCTCTCGATACAACATGGGGTATAGCTAAAACTTTATACTTTGGAAACCAGAGTTTAATGCCCACAAAGTGCTACCTTGGTATTCATGACAGAGCAAGAAATGCCAGGGCTGTTAAATTTAATTCTAAATCTATATTCCACTTATGCAAAAGTGTTAGGGATAATCCAGACCTAAAGTGTACTGAAGAGCAAAGAAGGCTTTTGTCAAAGTTTGTATTGGAAGGTAAATTGAATGGATTGGAACTCGAAAAGAACCCTTTTGACCGGTTTAGGAATGATGGCAAAGTATTAAATGAAAAGCGTTCTCAATTTAAAGCCAGACTTGAGGTGTGTATTAAAAGTAACATGTTTTAAGAACGGATGGATAATTGTATTTATATAATTCCAGTTTGCGACAAAACAGTTCAAACATAAAATCATTGATCCAAATACAATGAAAGATTTCCCTGAAGATTTTTTGAGAATTATTGCTGTAGATCCAATGCAGCCCCAGAGAGGCCCCTGGGTAGTTACTCTACAACCACACATTGTTACGCCTTTCTTAGGTAGTTCTATATAATAATAGTTCACTTTGAGATTATTATAGACTGTTTTGTGCGCATTTATTAATATTTTCTGTATACTTTAGAATACTGTCCGGATCGTGAATTAAGGTGGAAAGTTTGGCAGGAGAATAATTTAAGATCGTCTTTGGCTAATGATAAACTTCTCCAAACAAGTACACCTTTGGAAGAAATTAGATATAGACGAAACGATAGAGCAAAACTTCTTGGCTATAAAAGTTATGTGCATTTGAGTATGGAGACTAAAATGGCTGGGAGCTTAGAGACCGTTTATAATGTACTGGATACCTTGTTAGAAACAGGTATGCTCCTGCACGTTAATAATGTCATCTATTTCTAATCATCGGTGCATATACTGACTGATTATTTTATTTTAAAGCACGACCTTCGCAAGAGGAAGAGTTGAATAATTTAACTAAATTTGCTAAGGAACGTGGCTTTGATGGAACATTACAACATTGGGATGTTCCTTATTGGGCAAGGAAACAACGTCGTACTGTATATAAGTAATTACTTAATAATTAATCACCTACCACAGATATTATTTCTAGTACATAAACCTTTTAAATACTAACTGTATTTAATTCCTACTAGCTATAACGAGGAGGTATTGAAGGAATATTTCTCTCTACCAAAGGTACTCGATGGTCTCTTTCGACTCTCTGAAAGATTATTTGGTATCAAGATTGTAGAGGAGAGAAAAGTAGATGTGTGGCACAAGGATGTCCGTTTCTTTGACATATTTGACGCGAGTGGACCCAATTCGGAGCCATTAGCGAGTTTTTATCTAGATCCGTATGCGAGATCCGATCAGAAAATACGAATAGATCAGGATTCAGGCTGGATGGTTGGAGTTAGACCGAAGAGCACAATCACCGACAGTAAGCCTTTGGCTGCACTGATTTTTAATTTCCAATCTCCCATTTATGGAAAACCATCCCTGCTTACATTCAGAGATGTTCAAGTCCTCTTTAAAAGGGTATTTTATCTGGTTTTATTAAATACGTTTATACGCTTTCATGAATTCTTGTTTAAAACTCTATTTATGTACGGGTACAGTTTGGTCATGCTCTACAACATCTCCTAACAGTGACCAACTATTCGGAAGTATCTGGTTTATCGAACATAGAATGGGATGCTGCAGAAATTAGTAGTCATTTCATGGCAAACTGGTAAGTTTTAAAAAAATATTTATACATTAAGTTGTCTAGGAAAAAAATTTGAGTTATATCGTACGTATTTTTAACAGGCTGTTCGAACCGTCTACCATACAGCAGATTGGTGAACACTATGATACTGGTGAAACTTTACCTGAAGAAAACATTGAATCCCTAAGACTTATACGTTCACATATGGCTGGATATAATCTTTGTAGAGAGCTATACTTATCTCGACTCGATTTGGAATTGCACGATAGGTAATTCCTTAGCAATGTTTGGGAATCATTTGATTAATAAACTTCTGAATTTTATTCTTAATTCTTCATTGCAGCGAGGATTTCTGGATGGACATTTCTACACGCATTTGGAACAGGTATTTTGTGTTGCCGAGGGAGAAAAGAGATTCTCATGTTTGTTCGTTTGAAGCAATATTTAGCGATGAGTGGGGTGCTGCATACTATAGGTGAGCAGACTATATTCAGATTGTATAAGGGATTACATTTTCTATCCTGAATTGAATTTTCTTACAGTCACATTTGGTCAGAAATGATTGCTGCTGATATCTACAGTGCATTTCAAGAAATACCCGTTGAAGATCAAAATCAGGTTAGAGAAATTGGTAAACGATACAGAGATACGTTTTTAGCACTAGGTGGTAGCTGTTCTCCAAATGAAGTGTTTAGACGATTTCGCGGTAGAGATCCCAGCCCAAAAGCTCTCTTGAAAAACTTGGGTTTGAAAAACGTGAAACAAGAAAAGATTAATTAAATATCAAACAGAAAGGAGGTCCAAAGGAACAGAATTTTGACATTTTAACAATGTCGTCAGAATTATAATCTTGTTGTAGTCTGCTACCATACTTTGTATATGATTACATATTACTGTAAACAGTGAACTGAACAGTGTAATCGAATCATGCATTAAAACATAAATAGAATAAATATTCATTTATTTCGAATACGTTTCGAATATAAATAATGCAAATAAGAACTGTTATCACTTGTATAAATAAACATAAATCTGTACTTCTGAACTGATCCATTTATTCTACTATATAATTATATCATTGATTTTTCGCAACATATGGCTCAATAGGGCTTCATAATGTCAATTTCAACGTAGAAAATATATAGTTATCATATGTTTATTTTTATTTACAATTGCTTACATTTAAAACTAGAATCTAGTCAAATATTTCGCGCCTGATTTTCATATATGTATGTACATTAGACTTTAACTGCAGAGTGTAATAATGGAATGCTAAACGAAAGTGTATTGCATTAAATGCGAAGATAGATATACAAGTTGCGACCTTCCTGTTTAATGTATCAAGTTTCGTAATAAATGATTCATTCAAGCAAGACCATATTACAAATTTGTAGGCAATAGTAGTGATGAATAACGCGTTTAATTTGATTTCACGTTTAAAAATGATGAATCCCGAGCATGAGACTGTAATCGCATTTACTATACGATATTACAATTTACACTAAGGCTACCGTAATGATACTGATGAACAGTAAAATTATAACGATCCAGTAACTACAGGTGCGATCTTTGCGATCGATACGCCGCACTTGGCGAGTCTCACTAATTAACCGCTCATCGGTTCTCTCCATATGATCAGCAAGATCTTCAATTATCTCTAAAAAAAAATAAATTCGATGATAATGACAATTATTTCTATGAATCGTCAATATTAAAGAGCTTTACCATTTTGATGATCCACTTCATTCCCAATTGTATGAGCAATTTGCTTTTGACGTGAAATCACTTTTGATAACTCCTCCAAGCCATGTTCTTGTTCTATAAAACCAATAAGACTTAACTTCCCTTGTTTGATGTAAATATCTCATTCATAAAATTATATAGACTACCCTGCAAGAGTTGTTGTTGTCTTGTTTTGAGCTCATCGGTGGAAATGTGAACGTCTAATGGTTGATCATCATCATCATCTATGCCCCAACTTGTTGTGCCCATATCTGCAAAATTTGTTGATGACTTCATCAATGTGGAACGAGCTGTATCATTTCCACGAGGCTCATAGAGTCTTTGCAATTGTACATCTTTGCTTTGCAACTGCTCGACTTGGCGCGTTCTGCGTTCTGCTTCTTCTGCAGTTCTACAATTCTTCATATATTAAGAAAAATGCTGATTTTACATGTTCATGAGACACCAAGAAATATGATAGACATAATTCATTCGATTACAGTCTTAGAGAAATTAGAGGAACAACTTTTTTATCAATGTAAGGATACATAGAATGAGATTTCCAAGCCTCTTCAACTTTAACTTTCAACTGCTGCACCTCTGCTGTATACTGTTTCATTCCCAATCGTACTTTGGCAGATAGAGTGGAATAGGCATATGAAGTTTTTGCTTCTCTCTCACGTAGTTGAAGCTGTTCCATAATCTCTCTAAACAGTTTCTCGCAGGCATCGTATTCAGCAAACCTAAACCATCACTAGGTCAGTTAATATAACACAACATAAATAATCTCAACAATAATTACACAAAATTTACCATGGATCACTGTCATCAATATAAACCAGAGCCATTATACTTTTCTTTATTTAGACGCTGATTACTTCTCTTGTACTGACAACCAGAATATAGCTATCTCACGACACACCTCCCAGTACACCCACGCAACCAGTAAAATCCTCGCAAATAAGCTTTAAGGAAAAGTCTTAATGCCAAATAATAGCTTGACTGCTAATTCGAGTAGCGAGGGCAAGAAAGTCAAGAGGTACGTATGACAGCCTTGATCGACACGTGGTACATGCCAGCAATCCCCTCCGTTTTATAAATCCTTCATGGAGACTCCTTTCACATTATAAGGAGTGTGCGTAAAGCAAGACGTTCTCTTGACAGCTCACCATATAACAAACACAGGTAACGTTTATCAAATAATCAAGGAGATAATACAATCAGTCTTATCAATATAATCGGGGAGAGCTTAGCAAAAAGTAAGTTACAGCAACGAGCTGTAATGTAGAACTCCGTTTCCAGAAGTAAAACGAGTTCAGCCTTTTTCACGCAGGCGCATGCGTGGCAGCACTGGCGTCATCGAGGTTTTAGGATGTAGTAGGATGTCCCAGTCAGTCTCCCAATCCTACAGTACAGAGACCTGAAGTCTGAGTGAAGTGAAAAGGGATAGATAGTGAAATAGATGGACACGCGTAGTAGTACGGATTGAAACAGGTATTTGTCAACCAGGAACAACGTTCAAAATATACTTATATCCTATACGGGATCGACGCTGTACTTGTGTGTGAAGTGAAGCATTATAGTAGATAAGGTGCTACGAAATGTCAGGTGGATGCAAAACACGGTGATCACTGGACCGCGAGAACGTGTCCTCCGAGTGGCTCGCGATTAATTGGACCTGCTGTTTCGCGTGGAAGGTCAACTTGCGTCTCTGGCTGGTTTAACTGGAACTGACGATCTGTCTCCAGATTTCTCAGAAATTGGAGCCATTCTCGCAGGTCAGCCCACATAATTTCGCTAAGACAATGAAAGTGATATTGCTAGTTCTTCACAGATATTGTCCTTATCAAGATAATTGATAAACTCGGTTATCGTTTCGCTGGTGCGTCCGACGAAATGGAATTTCGCGCACGAACGTAGTACCGTTGTTGTTGTTGTGCATATTGATTTTTAACGTACGGACCACTTGGTCGTCTGTGTACGACATGGAATGATTTCATATGTTATGGTATATTCTGTGCTTTTGGTTTAATTATGGAGTATTTACTGTTTGAACTTTCCTTTTTTTTTTACGTAGTGTACCTATTTTAAGTGTACGAGTGTACGTTACGCATGGCTACTCTTTCTGTACAGATTGAAGTATGAGTAGCAGTACCCTACCGGGGACGTCGACCATGGCCTCGGTGGTCAACAACGTGACAGCAACAACTGTCACAAGTGTTGTTACAGGTTTGACGACCGAGGATACCAAGGAGGTTACGCCTATCTTCTTACAAACGCGGGCTGCTCAGGGTATCGCTGGAGCGTTTGTCTGGGTCGCATTGTTTTTGACTTGCCAGCAGGTAAATTGCTAAATAAATGTACACGGTCGCGTTATGAAGTAAAACGCATTCGTGATCATGTTAGAAAATAGGAAGTTTGTATGTGTTTATACTTTCATATAGCAATTAATGAGTGAGCTTTCTGTTCCACAGATTTACCAGCACCTCAGGTGGTACACAAATCCAGCAGAGCAACGGTGGATTGTTAGGATTCTATTCATTGTACCGATTTATGCTACCTACTCTTGGGTCTCCCTGTTATTCTTTAACAGCGAAAGTTACTATGTGTACTTCTTTACTGTACGTGACTGCTATGAGGCATTTGTCATTTATAATTTCCTGTCTCTGTGTTACGAGTACCTGGGAGGTGAGGGTAACATCATGTCTGAGATTCGAGGGAAACCCATTCGTTCCAATTGCCTATATGGTACCTGCTGCCTAGTGGGCAAGACCTACACCATTGGTTTCCTACGATTTTGCAAGCAGGCTACATTACAATTTTGTCTTGTGAAACCGGTTATGGCTTTCGTTATCATATTCCTTCAGGCCTTTGGCCATTATCGGGATGGTGATTGGTCTCCCGATGGAGGATACATCTACATTACTGTTATTTATAATATCAGTGTGTCTCTTGCTCTTTATGGGCTCTTTCTATTCTATTTTGCTACAAGAGACCTACTCACACCTTTTGAGCCTGTCTTGAAATTCTGCACTGTAAAGAGTGTCATTTTCCTGTCATTCTGGCAAGGTATGTTCTTATGTTTTATAATAATTATTTAATCTTTAACAGGATCGTTAACATTCTAAAATTTTTCTGTTTTCTAGGTGTGCTGTTAGCCGTCTTAGAAAAGGCCAATGTTATCTCACCTGTCATTAATAGTCTTGGTCAATCAACAAGTGCTGGTACCGTGTCGGCAGGATATCAAAATTTTCTGATATGCATTGAGATGTTATTTGCTGCTATTGCATTACGCTATGCCTTCCCGTATCAAGTATATTCAGCTGGCTGCGTTACTGACTCCAGAGGTCGTAGTGTCACCATGCAGAGCATCAGCAGCAGTCTTAAGGTGAGTTATGTTTCCCATTGAACCGTATCAAACTCCATTATGTGAAGGTGAGCATATTTTATTTGAATCGACAGGAAACGATGAATCCCAAGGATATTATGACCGACGCTATTCACAACTTTCACCCACAGTATCAGCAGTATACACAGTATAGCTCTGGTGAGTAAACTCACTTTTCTCGTTCCTGTCACTTTTATTAAACTTGATTATCCGCAAGATTTCTTATTTGCTTTGTTTGTATTATATAATGTATAACATTTTTGCATATAGTCCATGTAATTGGTATGGCAACAATTTTATTTGGCATGCATTATATCTGACATACAGTCACTCCCTTTGTCAGTTCTCAGTGGCAGCTTTACGTTTTTGTTTTATAGATCTTATAGTTAAATATTGCAGGAGAAATATTCTTTAAAAAATTACAAAATGTCTACTTGGATCCTTTGTATATAGATACGCAAGCGAGTTTACTATTTTATTGACTTCACATTAAATAGTAAACTACATTAATTAACTAAGAATCCACTCAAATTGACATGGTGCTTGCAAGCTTATGGCTTTTGTAAATAATTTATATCTCACTAGCAATATTTTGTTTATAATTACAACACTGCCCACACAAGACGCAAAACTCGCGATTAATAATCAATTAATTCTACCGTATGCACCGCGTCACTGGTTTTTTCCTAGTAGACGTATAACACAATAACCGGGTGAGCAAGCGCACTAGCTTATTCCTAAAGCACAAATCTTTCCTTAGTGCCTCCTTGTAATACGGCGGCAGCCATAAGAATAATATAGAGATACAAAATTCCCAGAGTGAGAGAAAGACAGAAGAAACGAACTACGTGCCCATCGTGTGAACGTGTCAAAAGAGTAGTTACTTTGAAAAGAATTTGTTTGCTGTTTTTCAGACGTCAATACCAACTTGCCGTACGAAAAGCTGTGAGTGCGCGAGGGGTCTCATTTTTATTTTCAAGACGCAGGAGTCCGGGCTTTGCTCGTCTTTGATCAAGGATTACAATACAAAAAAAAAGAGAAATACTAAAATGAGGATAAATCATAATACCATTTTATAAGATTATCATTCGAACGTTATACGCTTTTGAATTGATAACCGCTCGCAGGATGAATCGAGACTTCCACCATCTTGATTGTTGAACGGTTTTTATAAAACAAAGATTTTTCGAATATTCCTATTCGGTATACGTATACAATATTACGTTGCGCGAATTTAGCCGTTGAATTCGTGAATTAATAAGCTCTACTGTAAAATAGTATTTAAGCACGTAACATTGAAATACTTAGTGAACGGTGTATTCCTAGAATGACTTGCTTTACTACAATAAAACAAAAAAACGAGAGAGAGAGAGAGAGAGAGAGAGAGAGAGAGAGAAAGCAGGAGGAGGAGGAGGAGGAGGAAACACAATGAACATTGAATAACCAAGTAAAAGTGCAAATCGGACAGTGGGAACTCGTGTTTAGAATATTTTACCTAGCTACTTAATTGAGAGTATGATATTTTAGTTAATTTTTATATTGTTGTCTTAGTCTTCTTTGATTTATAATTCCTTTTTTTTTCTTCATCATACGTTCAATAACGCTCTTTTTTTTCTTTAACGAAAAAGATAGTGTATCTAGCATGCCCACGTATGTGTGCAAGCGGAATGAATATTATTCGGCCCAATAATAACTCTCGAACGCGCGTGTACTGTACCTATCTACTATGGTTATTATTATATCCTTGCACGATATTCTTCCAGCTTCGAATCCTCCCTTACTTCCTCCCAGCCCACTTCCCCACCTTTTCTGTTTTTAAATGCCGGTTTGCATGACGCATTATTTGGTATCCTATATATTACGTAATAATACCGTTGCCATCCTATCCAACGAATTCATATCCCGCAATTTTCCCTTGTATTTATTACACACAGTGCTATGCGTAGCTCAAAAAATATCAGTCTCTCTGGACAGCTGTCAAATGATCGTTTATATTTTAATATTTTGTATGACCGTAATCTTTGCACGGTTCAAATGGTAAATGATTTGCAGAATTCAGATATTCGCTTTAACAGCCATCAGACCTGACTGATATGTTTGAACTAGATAGGCATTGTAATCATTTCTTCTTATGGCATAATAACAGCAATAAAATTGTTTTTCATCCACTGTTATGACGTCTCATAAAATATACGCGCGATGTGGAGTTTTACGAGGCGTCCTAGCGTCGTTGTGAAACAAAATTGAATATCGAACAAGTCGGTCGGTCGAGCCAACCGATTTCGCATCCCAATGCGGTCGATTCCTATTTGGGATGTAATACCAGTTGGCTATTCCGATCAATCTCTACGTATCCACGTTCTCTGGATATGCCTGTGGTAATTCGAGGCGTGTAATGTAACCTATCAGGGGGCACCAAAGGTCAACGAGGGATGCGGGTATCCAGCTTCGATCCGGACGATCCGCAAAACATGCCAGTACCGCCACCTCAGAGGCGCAACACATCTCATCAACGTGTCGCAACAATCTCCCAAAACTATAACGAGAAAACTATGCTGTTGAGCAGCGACGACGAATTTCAGTAAGTGAAAAGAAAGAGAGCCAAGATTATGGCAAGGAACAAAAGGCGAAAGATCATTAGAAAACTCGCCGAGCACGTATGCCAGAAGTATTTCTTTGAGGGGAAAAAAATAGTTTTTTTTTACGGATTCACGTGCATTGTTTCACTTTGACGATGATTTGTGTGGGTGAGAGAAAAAATTAATGAAAAAGAAAAAAATTATGAAAGACGTCATAGTTCACACATGGCGTAAGCACGCTGTACCGTATCGTAATAGTTCCACGATGTTATAATCAAGTTAATAACTTACGTTGTATGTTACATTACATAAGGATAATATAGAAAATATTTATTTTAATAATGCTCACGTGTTTAAAACGAACGTTACTCGTTGTAGACGTGGCGCCACCTACCTGCGCTTTTGTCTCTCTAAAATGTCTGTTTAAGGAACATGTTTGTATTATTTCTTTAGTTGTCGCTTCGTTACGAACTAGGAGAAAGAATGGTCACAATTTTACCTCATCGTCTCATCTAGTATTGTCGATTGTGGATACAAAATCCCGATGGCTATAACACATTAGTGCGAGTAAATACAATGGGACGACATTGACGTTGATTTTGTTTTTGAACTTGAATAAAAATTTCAAAATACTTTTAATTCATTTTAAGTTTTTTTTTGTATCTAATCTGTAAAACGGATATACTTTTTTAATCATCTTGCACAACGAGTAACTCTCACTTTTGGTCGGCACGTGTACCTACAGTGGAATCCTAAAGTTTTAAGCAGATCCTTTCACTATCGACCAAATGTTATTGGACAGTCGAGAAGTGAGCGACGAGGATTAAGGAGATGAGAAAAAGAAAAGGTAAAATTTTAACTATTGGAGGGCGTAAGGAAATGATATTGTAACGTCTGCTTTGCGCCACCAAACCTACCCTCGCGTCCTAGGTTAAGAGAAAATTGATAAATGTATATATCGTTAATATAAATTGTATTTAATAACCGAGATAAGGAAAAAGGGAGGTAAAAAAAGAAAAGGAGTAGAAAAAAAGTAAAAGTGACGATAATGATTTGGGCAGTGTTCATTCTACGTATAATTATATTGTAGTCTTTCAATGACAGTGACGAGGATTTTCACCAAACAGGGAATGGGCTATGGCTGAGGGATTGTGTTAGATATAAATAAATTATCGATACCTGGTGTAACGTGTAAATCGGTTAATATATCCTGACAGATGTACTATTGTGGATATAATGTCGTCCTGGAATTACGATTCTTAAGGAAAAGTTATTAATCGAGCCAGTTATATTTTAAGCTGATGTATTAGATGTAAGGGACAATTTTCCTTCTACAAAGCCGATATACGACGTATTTTTTCCTCATTGAAGTTTATCCAGTACTTAAGAGAAATTTTTCCAGCTATCTACGGGATACCTAGACATGACATTTTACGTCCGGATATATGCAAGTGCTTGTGGTTTAGTCGCGCGTGATACGCGAGGGCAGGTACTTCTATTGAAAAGATATGTAATTAGTTGAATGATTGCATTTATTTTTATTGCAATTGACATTTTTAAGAAATACAAAAAGAAAAAAAGACCCTGTAAACTCCCTTGTGTCTTTTGCTACCGAGACACATTATGAAGATATGCAAAGCCATGTGTTTACGTACAACGAACAGAACATCTATTACGCCCTGTATGACATTTATTTAACCATCCTCGAAAGTGCGCTTAAGGCCTAGTTTCCATGAGTTGGATAATTGTGAAAAAATATTGTAATTTTATTTATATATCCTATTTTATATAGGAATCTCGCGACACTATTACAGCAATAATTTTTCGAGCTTACCCGCTCTTAACGTCTCACTATCATTTACAAATTATAGTAACATTGATCAAAACTCAAAAACGATATACATTATAGAACATTATAGAACATTTAATTGATTTTCTTTTCTAAGGCGACAACACCTTGTCGACATTGATTCGGCACAGTCGAACAATGACGAAGAACAATTTTTCATTAAAGCTTTCGGCGGAATGGCGCTTTGAAAAATAAAAACTCTGCTTATTCTCATCAATAGTTGTAATATAAAAATCTCTTATTTTAAACAATCGTTACCAACAATGATAATATTTGTTTGTTATCGATGAGATTTTTCCATTCCGTAAAGTTTGAGAAGAACAAGAGAAAAAGTAGTAAAAGCTTTCTCTAAAAATATATATATATATATAGTCCACTACCAGCCAACCCACTGCGTTTGTTCGTTACTTATAATTTTTCTCCAGCCATGCCAAGGTGCATCGGGATCCTCTTCGGATGGTAAAACATCTGACTTTCCTTTTCGTTTCCGCAACCGAGTATTTTTTGATCGTGATTCCCAGCGTGTACTTTCCTCAAATTCAGATTCATCAGAAGACTCTTTAACTCTTTTCACCGGTACCTCAACAGTTTCCATTTTTGTTGTTGTTACTTCTTCAATCAAAGCACGTTTCAAAGCGCGACAGTCATCCTCATCCTCTATGTCCTGATAGCACAGTTCCTCATCCATATAACCCACCACATTATTCTCCTCGCTGGTATACTTCTCGTACTCCTCGTTTACAGCTCTTTTAGCTACTGCACTGTTGCTGGCTAATTGGGGACTGTCAGTTGGATGATAATTGCTGGAAGTATTTGTATATCGATCACTGACTGGTGACAAGCTTGTGTTTATTGGTCGGAATCCAATCGACTTTAACCTGGCAATTTTCATGCTGACATCCTCTGAATTCACTGCAACAAATGCTGATGGTCTGTCACATATATGCTGCAAAAGCTTTTCACTTATACCAGCCTGATTACTAATGACTTCTGCACTTTCCGGTGACTGACAATCTGGATTCAATTGATGCGATACAGCCGGTGCAGTACTGCCAATCTGGGATGATATACCGGGATAAGAGGTTTGCGCTACATCCAACGCGCACACACGATCATCTGTGTAATGGGTATCCTCGTCATACGTAGCGTCTTCTTCGTAGGTTTCAGATTTCACTTCCTCCAAGTCTATTATTTCTATTTTTACAGTCTCTTGGCCCTCTTGTACATTTTGGGAATCTGGCTCGTCCACGACGGTAGTGGTGTCAACCTGGAGTGAGAAGTCCATAGTCGGATGACACAGTAGAGAACACTGTGTAGTGGCGTTAACCATTTTTGGCTTTGTACTTTTCTCATTACTCCGATCCGGTGACTTTGTAGTTTGTCGCACAGATGATTCTTTTCTTATAGAATTCTGAGAGCTCCTCGTGTCCCTTCTGCTCCTCAACAATCTTCCCATCTCCATATTCCTTGTACTCTGTGACTTAGACTGCTCTACTCTTGTCCTACGTACCTTTTTAAGCTTTCTATCTATCAATCTCTTTCGCTCCATATTGCGATGCTGCATCCTTCTGGTATTCGTGTTACCACCATTCGTACGTTTACTTCTACTTAGCGGATCCGATCTCATTACCCTCTTCTGCTCTACACTGACCTTATTGGGTCTCCCTGTACAACTTTTAGCATTTACTGGCTTATCGTTAGGTCGGGTCCTAGTACTTATAAGTCTCAGTCTTCTGGTTCTAGGGCCCCTAATTTTAGGACTGATATTTGCGTCTATCACTAAATTCGCTATCTCACCTCTTCGCTTCCTTCGCATTGGTTTCCGTTTCTTATTTCCACCAACACTAGGTGCTGTCTTGGTCAACAGGATATTCTGGCTCCTCGAAGATGTTGCTGTACCTTCATTAGAACGAATGTTCCTCAGTCGGATTTGTGAGATGCGATCTGATTCTCGTAAACGATCTTCACGAATCACTTCGAAGTTTGGCACACTTCCTGGTAATTCAGTACGGAGAATCCTCTTATCTCTTTCTACTTCAGCTTTAGAATCACGCTCGCGCACGTTGTGTCTTGTTCTGTCAATATTCTGCCTTATGGCACGAAATCTTCCTCTTGTGTCAGACTGGAATGGCGTACCACGTATTATGCGCAATCTAGTGTTGTTCTTTTTTCTAGTCAATGAACGTTTATCGTTAATCTCAAGAGTATCGTGTATTTTACGTCTCAATATTCTACGTGTACTATTATCAAGATCGCTTTTGTAATGACGTGTTAATCTACGCGTTCTTTGTCCGACTGATAAATCTGATGATTCGAACTCACTCATTTCTTGATGATAATTTAAATTTTTAGCAACTTTCTTATTAATTACACGTTCGGAAAGTCTTTGTATAGTTTTTGATACAGTTTTGTCCGTAGCGGAACTACTGTCATTTGCAGTTTTACAATTTTGAGATATTAACGCGTCATACGCTTTTAAGATAGCTGTCTCACCGGTACCCACGCCAATCATACTTCCAATTAATAATTTTGCCATTGGGTGATATTTTTCTTTCACTATAAGATTCAATATTTTATCTGGGGTTAAAGATTCTATGGATTCAAAATTTTTTGATGCTTCATCCATCGACACTTGAGAATTTCTTGAGGATGTTGGACTCTCTATGCTCCTCCTTTTTGGACTGGACATTCTTTCAGATATTCTGTCAGATGGTAGCATTATTCTTTTAACTCTTTCTACTGATACGTTCTCAGGCAGAGCTCCAATAACATCACATATTTGTCTATAAGATGGTTTCGCATATGAATGCTCTATCCGATATGTATTCTTCATATTGTATTGAACTGTTGTAACGTCATTCAAATTTGTATTGACAACGCTCAACATTTCCTCATTTGAATCCGTATGAATATTCCCACGCTTGGGAATCTGTTTCGTCATTGTACTCGAAGCAATCGCATCAGATGGGAATTCTTCGTCATCGGATACATCTGTTATTTCCCCGGAGCACTCCATAGATGAAGCACGCAAAACAAGTTCGGTCTGCTGAGTACTCTCTTTTGTGCGCAAAGTTTTCGGAACGGTATTTTGCGTGGAAGAATCTGCTACTTTTAATGCCGTTTGTTTACTATCTTCTCTTTCACTTGTTTTTTCTTGATCAATAGAATTCGACTTTTTAGGCAATCTTAAGATATCGAGCCTAACGTACGCGTCTACTTTCTCAGAATAGGAAGATGCACTTTCACTATCCGTATAAGTATCAACTCGTCTGCACATAGCGGCTGGCTTGAAGACTCTGCAAAATGTGGAAGCGACTTTCTTTGTATCTTGCTGCAAATTGTGAGAGGAGTCGTAAAGATCCGTACGAATTGATATGTTGGTATTTTGCAATTTCGATGAGGCAGCCTTTGATGTAAGATCGTAACTGGCATTGGCGTTGGATACTAACGAATCGTTGCTGGATACAACGGAAGAACCTGATTCCATTGTTAAATCTGTGCTGTTGCCCAATTTTTTGGAAACTCGTCGAGAGACGATAATACTCTCGTGCACGTTCCTATGGTCGTCGGAGACGATTTTCGCTGGTGTAATAGAACAGACGTTTTCTGTGCTAGACGAGACAGCAGAATCTTTCTCATAATTGATTTTACGTTTTTCTGCTACGCTGCACATCCCTCTTTTTGGTTCAGGCATTGTAGATTCTGATATACTGTATACGCTTCGGGTCAATATTTTCTTTGAACTTTTTGGGGTAGCTTCGGATCGTTTTGAGATATCAGGAAGAGAACGTCGTGATGTCGGTGAGAAACGATTCTTCCAAGGAGAAGGTTCCTGATTGGATATACGTTTTAACGCGAACTTATGAACTTCTTTAGAATCCGTGGATGTACCTAACCAGTGAGCTACCACCATGTACAAGCCATCATATCTGTATCCTGTCTTAGGTGCAAATTTGTTTGATAAACTGTATCCCCTAACTATGCGGATAGGTATTTGATTTTGGTAACTCAGAATGAGGGAGTCATTCTGTGATTCTTTTTGGCCATACTCTGCCCCGGTGAATGTCAGTGTATCACCATTGTCCACATCTACATCCTCGTTTGAATGAGAAATACAGATAGATATTGCTCCAACTGGTCCTTCTTGAATAGTAGCACTGAATGGATCGTGTACGCGATCCCTGGAACAATCCATACGAATTCCCCACCAAGAACCTGGTGGGAATCCTGGGATAGGACCGTATAATCTCTCTGCTCCCTGTTAAAGCATACAGCATAGGTTATGTGATCCTTCGAATATTAAACAGTTTTTGAGTATTCAGTGGAATCATATACTAACAGTTTTATTATGCCAACTCATAACAGACGTCCTCATGTGTTTGGTAAGTTTTTCTGCATTTTTTGCATTGAGTTTAACAAATAATCTGTTAAACTCTTCTGGGCTTCTACTGTCCAACTGAAACAGTAGTCAATCAACGTGATGTTAATGTAATAATTTTGCTTAACAATTATTATCCTTGCTTTCAAATGTTCTTACTTACCTCATTTCGAGCTGTTAACTCACGTAAGTAATTTGTATTTTCTTCATAAGTATTGGCTCGATGTTTTAAACCAGTACTTCCTTTCGCCATTTTATGTACTACTGTTATTGAGTACGCAGTGGAAGCGGAATTAGAACGCACACAATTGTAAACATCGGAACAACGTTTTGAACCAATTTACACCTGGCATTTAGCTCTGGTCAGACATGAAGTCGATAGGATTAAGAGGAAGAAGAACCAATTCACACACTCATAAGAAATGGGAGCTTTCCAGTTGAGAAGTACAAATTGATACAGCATAACACAGAGCTTTACAATTGGTTGGCTTTAGCAGGAAGTTCTCAATCGGTTACGTTGCATACGTATACATATGTATGTCACTTTACTCCAAGCAAATGTTTACTATAAGTTTTGGACGATTGAAGACATTGGAACGAGAGATTAGGAGTTTTCAATGTTTTAAATTAATTTCTTTAAATAAAAACAACTACGAATCCTCGATAGTCATATTAGGTTGCTGTCTATAATAAAAATGTCAAAATCTGTCTTTAAAAAAGTAAGTTTTCGAACGCGTGCGGTGACACTTTTATGTGACAACATAATCAAATGCAGATGAAAACGTCAAATAATCACATTTTGATTTATATTCTTTATGATTGGTGCATTATCTTATTTCTATGATTTATTACTCCTTTATTTATAATTAAGATATCATGTATTTATAGACGTCATGAAATCCAACAGCACAATATATAAAAATATTTTTCAATTATTCATATCTTTAACGAGGACACATTGCGTGTCTTCCTCCATCAACGGGAATGGTTGCTCCGGTAATAAAACTTGCATCTTCGCTAGCAAGAAATGCTATTGTCTTTGCAACTTCTGTTACATCTCCTGGGCGTCCAAGAGCATGGGTAGTTTTACTACGCTCGAAAAAGTTCTTTAATTGCTCTTCACTCATTCCACTGTTTTTATGTAAATTTGTTACAGTGACACCTGGGTTCACTGAATTCACGCGAATCTAAAGTACGGAAAATATTTTACTTAAGTCTTAGTACTGCTTGATATAATTATATAAATTATTTGAATAAACGTTATATGTCCATACCTGTTTATCTGCAAGCTCTAAAGCAACACAACGTGTAAATTGATCTACAGCTGCTTTGCTCATACAGTAAGCCAAAACTCCTGGAAAAGATCTCATTCCATTTACACTCGAAACATTGACAATGTTTCCCTTGGATTTAATGAGATGTGGTACAGCCATCATAGTTAAGTGATAAATTTGTTTAACGTTTGTATCGAACATTCTAAGAAATGGAAACATGATGTATTAGTATCAATTAATATCATATGCTATCTTCAATCATAATTTTATTATTATAATAGTTACCGGTCATACTGCTCCAAACTTGTATTCTCAATGCTTCCATTTTCCAAAATACCAGCATTATTAATTAGCACATCCAGTTTACCATAGTGTTTAATTGTAGAATCAATGACATTCTTTCTGTCAGTCTCGCTGGTCAGTTCTCCAATGACGATAAAAGGCTTTGGTTTTTTGCATTCGCTAGCAACTTTTTCCAGATTTTGTAAATTACGTCCAGTTATGGATAAATGTGCACCAAGCTGAGACAAGTGAATGGCTGTTGCTGCTCCAATGCCTGAACTCGCTCCAGTTATTAGTACTACCTTGCCCGTAAAAGCCATATTCTTTTGATATGAAAACGCTGGAAAAACATTATATAACGTCTGAGTTATGAATGACTCTTTTCTTAAGATAGCTATTAGAGCATTTTTTTAGAATTACATATGTAAAATATGTATGGTATCAGTCAATATTGATAACAGAGAAGAAGTGAGTATCAACAAATTTTTATTACTGCAAAGGGGTAAACTTAGCAACTGCTCAAATTTTAAGAAAATTACAGTAGTCAATTGAATTTTTTTAAATCGGGGAAATCTAATACGTATAAAAATTTGTTGTTCACTTGATAATACTGGAGAATGATACGCAACCGGTTTGTAGATACACCAGCAAACAACACTTGTCAATCACTGAAATATAGATATACTAGAATGCGTACGCTGTAATTCTTAAGTAGCCCGGCGAGCGCGCAGCTGTTTCACTCACTTCACGTCACTGAAATATAAGTATACTGGACGCGTACGGCATTGGTGAGAGCCCCGTAGAAAGAGATAGCGAGGAAACAGGCCAATGTAGTAGGATGTCTATCACACACTGTACAGTCTCTCAAAAAGTTTAAGCTATTGGTCCATAATCAAGCTAACCTCTACACCTGTCAAATTTCGTATCCAACAAAATTTTTTTCTTATTGCCATAGTGTCAAAAATAAATGCTACATCTTTTAAATATTCGTTATTTTGAGTTTCGCGTTTCAAAAATTCAAAAACGTTTGGCACGAATCGAGGCTCAATCGTAAAATCTACCAATCTTCTTAATGAGTTCGCGTGCGGCAGATTTATTTTTGTACGAAAAAATCCGTAAGCTCCTGGAGAATAAAAATACAAAATTAAAGCGAATTCTTTCATTTTTTGTGTACTCCTCATTTTTTAAAAATTCTAAATCAAATTCTGAAAACCTCTTCAATAACCCTTCTTCTAAATTATTAGTACAAGTACCTCTATCTTTTAGCCTTTGGACCAATTTTTTTATGTTTACAATCCTTTCGTCCTTTCTTCTTAGCCGATCCTTCAAGAGTTTTAGTTGATGCCGCAGGTCTTTTACTTCTTGAGAAGGACCAAGTATCCGGGATTCAGTTTGCACAAGCACACTGCCAAATTTTTTCCTTGGCCTTTCGTTATCTTCCAGTTCCGAATTGTCCAAGCTTACTTGTGTACTAACGTTGCATTTGTATTCCATTTCTGACACATCTGTCATTTCAGCAATCTGAAGCATTCCAAATAAAAAATTAACACACCTTTTCTTCATAAGGGTAAGGTTCAATATTTTGTAATGTTTAACGAGTCTCAAACAGCATATTATACCTCTGCACATTCATAAAACCCATGTCAGGTTAAAGGAACGTCTACCTTTTTTCAATTAGATTGTGAAATACAAATAATTCTGACCATAATTTTAATTACAATTATTAAAAATAGAATACGTACGTAAGAATAGAATACAAAAAAAATATGATACATACTCTATTTGTCTCAGCAGAAGAAGAAGAGCAATCTTGTTCATTGAGAGAACACTCTTCAGGACCCTGTTCAGAAGTCGTATATAGCAATTAAAAATGTTAAAGCTTAGAAGTTAATTTTTTCAAAGCATTTATTTATCGTACCTTGAAAATACTAGGCACTGCATTTTTGTTCAAAAATCTTTTACCTCCAAGTATTCTATAATCTTCTGGTAAAAAGTGGTTGCTGCAAATTTTTGAGTATTTTGTAAAACTTTTATATCCTGGGCCTATGTTGAGCCATTTATTTTTTAATTGCTCATTCTCAACAGGTAACCTAAATCCAAAAATGCAATATTAGTAAACAATATTAGAAATAATTTGCAATTTTCGAAAATATTTACTTAAAAAAAGATAAATGTGTGAAAGGAGTCCAAAACGAAGTACACGAATTTACACAACAGTATCTTGACATCTTTCATAAAATTATGAAAAATCTAACTTCAGTTCATTCAAAACAATGCCTGCAAGGTGGCTGGCACCGTGGCTTTATAACATGGAGCCCAGATAGGATTTAGTCCTTTTGTATTTCAGTACTCGTTGCTTCGCATCACGGCTAGCACTGATAACATTTTTGCTGGGCCTGTACATCACATGCGCAGTTTCATTCGAAAAAGACAATCTACTACAGAATGTGAGTGAGATAGTAGCATGCTACAGGGATATCTGCGAATACAGGCGTATGGTTTCCAGTATTCCTACATCTCAGAGATTCCACTGTAATAAACAACGAACCAAAACATACAACTGGAGATGTTAGGCGAGCTAATATGGAAATCTCAGTACTGACTAGTTCAATTTTAAAAGGATAAGTATCGTTCAAAGACTAGTGAGTAAAGTTGTAAAAGTTTAATACTTAAATAGAGAGAATAATTTATAGTCTACAATCCTATTGGCAAGAACAGTCTGCGTCGTTTAGTTCATAGTAGGTCTGTTCTCGTTCCCTGCACTTTATAAAATGTGCAAAAATCTCATTAGTTACTTAAAAATATTATTCATAAGAAATTGCACTTTTTGAAAAGTACAGAAAGTGTAGGCAACCATGTAAAAAAATAAGTTTTATCGTAAAAAGTTCACTGGTTGCTTCAGAGATGGCGCCGCTTACCCATCTTGTGTAGAGTCCCTTAGAGTGCCTTAGAGGGACTCTAATCTCGTGCAAATATCTTAAATGTGAATTAATATGTCAATGTCAGATAGGAACACAAGTCTTGAAAGAAAGAAATATCAAAATGATATTTCTCTTACCAATGGTTTACATTTGTAGGATGCATAGGTTTCTAATTGTACGATTTTCAATTTCAACTGTCACTCATCTTCTCCTGATCAAGTAAAGTTAAAGGATATTTAATGAGGTTATCAATCATTTTGAGTATAATCAATTCATTGTATTTATTATTGCCAATTCCTTAACAATTTCATTTAATCTCTCTTCAATCTCTTCTATGCTCTTAGAAATTTCTGTCTGATTTATCAGCTCTTGATCTCTTACTTTCTTCACGACACTTTGTAATGATAGTTTTGCACTACCCAACATGGCTCTCTTTTGCACAGCAGTACAATTTCGAGAGCAGCTTAGATAATCGTCGGCTAGTGCTAAACTTAAATCTAATACACTTTGAGTTCCATCTGCTGTCTGAAACCATCTTGGGTCTGAAACTGCACAACGATATGCTCTTTGTAAATACTGTGCTGCCTTTTGATCATCCAATTCAGTTTTCTTAGCAGCACTTAGCTCGGCATACAGTCGCCAAATATCAGAATTATTTGGAACACAGGATGTCAAGTGTCCAAATAATTCTAAAGTTCTTTGAAGAAGTCTTCTCGATGAATTACCTTCAGCATCCTTTATATCATCGACTACTGCTTTAGTCAGTATACGAAGAACCTGAACATCTGTATGAGATCCTTTGATCTCAAGTATGCGATGATAGCACCGGATTACCTATTATTTAATAAATTCATTATAAGTACCTAATTTGATCATTACCAGCAGATACTGAGGAACTAACTCAGCGCTTTGGGCATTATGCTACTCACTTCAGAGAAATGACCCAAGTCAATACTGACGACCATTAAGTTGTCCCAAATTTCCCAACGATCATAATTGCACTTAACAGCATCCTGAAGTGCCCGCCAAGCTCTAGATTTATCACCTAGTTTTATACAAGCTTTAGCCAAATTATTCCAGGCCTCAAAACTCTATAACATAGAATACATTTATATTAAATTTCAGTATGAAAAATTTAACCGTTTATCATTTTTACAAACCGTCTGCTCTAATTCGCAATAACGTCTATAAGCTGTAGCTGCCAGTTTCCAATCCTCAATTTGCAAAGCAGCGAATCCAAGTCGGATCCATACGTTCTCTTGTATATTATTTAATTCTACGGACTGCTTTAAATGTGGCACAGCCTCGTCGTAATGTTTCATTGCGAAGTAATAAAGTCCCCAGTGCCGCTGAACGCGGCTACTTTTTTTACCAGATAATTGCCAAGCTGTCTCATAGCAATCTGTGTCTTGAGTCGCATCACCCAGTAGGCACCACAACTTTACTGTAGGTTTCTTGGATATCTGTTGACGTATTATTTCTGCTGCCTACAATTACCAAAAAGTCATAATTCTCAGTGAAATCTTTTACATTCGAGATTAATGAAATGTAGAAATGAAAGTACCTTGTGTTTCAATTCCAAAATGGTGTAGCAAACAATAACATCTTCCCAAAGATAAAGATTTAAATAGAGTTCCAAAGCACCTTTCACCATTCCTACATTCAACATCAGATCCGCTAACATGTGTTTGTACTGCCAGATGGGTTTCATTCCACTTGCGAAAAACAGGTCCATTTTATAAGCTGTTTGAGTATTATTTAATTGTTCAATTAAATATTCAATTTGCGACATAGACCGTTCAATAGTTCTTTTATGATTTGATTCTAATAAGCAACGCTGACACAAGGATGACATCTTCAATGACCAATTTCTTGTATTCTCGATTATGGTCTGAAATCAACATTTTTTAAATATTTTGAGTAAAATTTATTTTTTTAGTATATTGGCTTACCGTTAGATAGGGAATGATTTCTTCATCGGTAAGCTTGTCTTTTGGCAGCGATATTTTGATCTGAAAGCTGTTGAAAATATAGTGAAAGTTAATCTCTAATTACATTATAATAGCTACATTAGTCTTGCATTCTATACTTACTGTGTTGCTAAAATAATCGCTTCCTCGAGAGCGTTTAAGTTTACTTTTTCGACCGACTCGGAAAATTCTATTCGCTCTAATCGCAAATCGTCATTCAATTCTAAAGCTTTTGGCAAATCTTTACACTCCCGTGATGGAAATAGCTCTTTGTTGACTTTAATTTTTAAGAATAATTGTGCCTTTTCCTCTTGCTGGTATTTTGTTCGCTTTCCCATCGCTCCCACCAGTTCCATTCTCAACATTGCTACATCATTTGCTATTTTGAGATAATGTTCAGAATTTTGTATTCTTTTGTATGTTAAATAAAAGTGTGTTGCTTCTAGATGAAAAAGAGTCTTAAGAAAAGTATCTTGTAAGATATCCTGTTCCACAATTTTAAGTATCAAAGACTCAGTTTCATCAAAGAGAACTGCTGACAGTTCTTCCAAAATTGTTGAATGTAGTAAATTTGCTCTGAATAGCCACCAAAGACTGCTTTCAAAAACATTCTGCAAATCCTTGCTAGAAAATATTGTTTTGGCTAAATGTAACAATTCTGGTTTACTCATGTTCTCATTGCACTGATCATTCAGAGATAATTCCTGTAACACATTGTTTCTAATGACGGATAACCAGTTTATATCATCCTTTACTTCCGGACCAGTCCAGTTGTTTTGCACAAAATAAAGTATTGAAGCAATTCCCGTACACAGCCAATTGAAATGCAATTCCGATTCTGCTTGAATAGCATTCAAAATAGATTTTTTGAAATCTTTGTTTCCTACAAGTGGTTTGATATGTTCCAGACAAAATTCGCTGTTTAATGTCTGTGCGTATTCAGCTGCAAGTATAGCTTTAACAATTGATGGTAAATTATCATCTAAAAATTAATACAAAAGTGTCATCAAAGATATCAAGGAACAACGTTGTAACACGTGTTGCAAGAAGAAAAGTCTTAACCTAGAATTTAATTAAATTTTACCTTTAGATGTACTGTAATTGATTAGCAGTACTCGCTCCAATTGTTTTTCTGTTTCTCTATCTTTGAAATCCATTTTCTCTATGAAACGTTATGTACAAATAAAATTATATGACTTCATACACGATTTGACGTTACAGTGATGTTTAGCCAAATGATGATAAACATAACCTTACTATATACGCAGGACTATAAACAATCATGGTTTTATAGAACGACTTGACGGAATCACTTTTTAAAATTATATATTTTTATTTGCAATTGATAAGATCACTTAAATGATAAATATAAATTATATTATTTGAAGAAGATATAAATAAATAAGATAAAAATGATTTTCAGCGTTTTTATTACAGAATAAAAATAATTGACATAGTGTATAAGGTACTGAGAAAATCATGGTACAAAGTATAGTCATTATAGTTAACCATACAATAATTAAATAGTTACAATAATTTATCTGTTTTCAAATATAAATAGTTCTCCATAATAGTGTCACAAAAAGGCCTCCACCGGGATACGTTTTCGGTCGCATTTATTTCATTTTCCTGTTATACGGGATTCATGATCGTAAAATAATGAAATAATTTATCCCTGTACAAAGTAATACACTAATCCGTAATTCTGCATTATTCCATTTCCAAAGAAAAAAAAAAAGAAAAAAGATCAAAGATTCAAAAACGTGATAGATACGTAAATTACAATTACAAGTAGGATTCATCGCTACAAAACTCGGAACCAGTTTTGATAAAAAAAATAAATTGCACATTGTTTTTGATTAGTATCATTCCTTAATACTTATATAAATACTCCTCGTTACGCTTAACCATTTAATAAGTACATGCCTGCACAATAGTGCGAAAAAGAAATATGTACCATCCAAAATACTTATAGTCTACGAATACCCTTCGTCCACGAAGGATTATAAGTATTCGTTTTACGTTTTGTTTAGTAATTTAATACTGAAATAATTTACGATACGAAAGCTAATGAACAAAAGTAAAATGACTCATTCATTTCCAGCGAGTCATTCAAAACACTAATATTTTTAAGCCCATTTTAGCTGGATTTTCATTAACAAAGAAAATAACATTCTTTCCTATTCTTGTTTTACCTCACACAACAGATACAATATGGTATAAAGCTTTTCTGTTTTAAGGCACCTCAGTTTCACCATTCCTATCAGTACCTACTATATATCATTACTTACATAATCTGACGTATAACTTGTGAGGGCTCAAATCTCTTCCAAGATTATTTCATTTTATAAATAGAATTCGCGCAAATAATATGATGACTTATTATGAGTGACGACATATTAATTTAAAAATGACCATTATTCTCTTCAACGTCTTCTCCAGATTCTTTCTTTCCAGCTATCAGGTTCTCCCAGAGAGTGATCATGCTGCTACGACGTCTTGGATTAGGCTGCGCAACGATAAAGACAATCAGCAAGATACAAAGACATAAAACGAACAAATACACTCTTATATATAATCAACTGCATTTACGCAAGTGACATATTAACACGGAAAATGAAAATATTAACAAATAAAACAAATGACGTTCAAAAACGTATTTCGAAATTCAATATGATAAATTATACCTTATGCTTCCCCTTGCTTTCTCTTTCCAGCTCGTCCTCGTTCAGGGTATTGGAGGATGTACCACTTTGCAGAGAACTCGCACCGTCATAAATATCCGAGTCGTTATCGTTCCCAATATCCAAAAGATTCGGCTGGGACTTTGCCAGCATCTGAGACCTCATTAATCTATGATCAACAACAAGAATAAATATAATTGCTAAATTTCAATAACTTCCATTCATCAAAGACTTTTTCACATTTGACCCATCATCCTGTTACCTAAGCTCGTTCTCTCTCTCCTTCATCTCGTTTAACTCCTTCTGTATTTTCTGCTCAACAGGTACGTAACCTTTTCTGACGGGTGGTTTCTTCGGCTCATCATCAGGTTCTATCTGTATCTCCAAAGTCCTATTAAAGGCCTTGATGCTCAAAGGATTCAAAGGAGCCGTCGGCGTCGTGGGTGGTGTCAGAAAGTCACTGGTTTGCGGTTTCTGTTTATAAATCTTGCCTCTGGTGGCCAGAAACCTATGCATCAATCCCTTCTGGCTAGGGGAGCTCGCAAATCGTACAGGCGTCGGTGTGGCACGCGTCGAAATTACTCCGTTGGTCATTTTCGGTGCTAAGTTCGGCGTCAGTGGAGTCAAGGACACTTCCTCAAGAATCTGCGGGGTCGACGTTGTTCTCTTCAACTTCCCGGATGCGAGCGCTTGCGGCATACGACGTACCTGCGAATTAAATATACACTGTAACAATGGGATCTTAGACATAAATTTTACTAGCGTATAAACAGACGGCTAAGCCTGCGTCTTCTACGTGAGAATTTAAAACGTTGTTAAACTTCCGTGAAACTACATGAATATTATCCTGATTTGGTGGGAGACACTCTTATTATTAGTTGGGAGAACTTTCCCGGTCTATTGTCATAAAATTCTTCACGAAATTCTTCATGAAATTATGCTACATTTAATGGTTCACGTGAGAGCTCAGTGAGGGACTGTATCAAACTATGACAACCGTAATAATATGCCCATCGAGAGCTACGTGTTCACAGAATATGTGACTCGTCACAAATTAAAAATCGGATAAGAAACATGAACACGATAGAATTTTTATCACTAGCCTATCGATGACGAAGAGTAGCTTAAAATTAATAACAGATAAGCTTTCGACGAAGTTCATGAAAGGGCACGTTGATTTGGGTGTCTGATAAGATAGAAGTTTCCGGATTCTACTCTTTGATTATTTTGAAAAATATTGCAAATTTTATAAATCCATCATTCAATTCCTGAATATAATATATATTGCATTTTTATACTGTGTGTATCATTAAGTACTATATACACAGTCAATGATAAGATAACAATAGAAGTTTTCATGACTATGATTAACGTGATCAACGATCAATGAATCACTATTACCTATATCCTGCAGAGTTTCTTCGGTTTGATAATAGGATATTATTATAGAATACTTACCTTAGAGTCGACGGTCTCGTGGGATATTGTCTTGATGCTGCCAACGTTTCGGAGCTCGTGTTCTCTCTCAGTGACTTCTTCGATTTCTCTTTGAATTCTGTCCGTAGCCTTCTTCAGCTGCTCCAGCCTATGGTTAGCCTGCGTGAAAGAAGGCGCGGGTGAAAAGAGAAAATAAAAAAAGATATAAAACGGTATTCATAAAATTATACCCTGACGGGTTAATTATTCATAACCGGCTTCACTCCTGATCCTCGACCAAAATCAAGACCTCGATACTTGTGTCAAACTGACTTGCTATAAGGACAACTGAACAAGCTCTACCGGTTGTAAGAAAAATATTTGTACGTATGTATATATGTATACACACAATATGTAATAATTTAAAAACTTCACACTTTCAAATCCACCCGGTTTTCTATAAGATTAATAACAGCGAGATTGTTAGGTATAAATATTAAAAGTTTCCATCGAATTAAATATTTCCTATCCAGTGCACAGAATTTCCTATCGATTTATGTCACTTTTATCGTTCCGCTAACGGGTGGCCGAATTCCAAAGCATGTTGAAAACCCAGCGACCCGAGTCCATTTAACGGCCATTTCAAATTCCTTGGTTTCTATATGTAATAACAATTATTCATGGTAATATGTATTAAAACACCTGGTACCCTAGTTGATTGATAAAATGCTTCCAATTGTTTTAGCCACTCTTCTATAGAGGTTCTTTTCTCGATTACTTCCGGAGACGATATAAAACCACGACGTCTAGCCGGTACTCGCTTCCGACTAGGAACTAAATTGAATGCGAGTACCTATGACTTGTACGTGAGCACCAGTAAAGCCAAGAGCGGCTGGAATGTTGCCGGAGAGATGCTGTTCACACAGAGCTCTGGCTAACTGTAACCCGCGCTTGTTTCCTTTCTAAAAAAAATGGGCCATGGACCTTCCACCATGATGGAGACACTGGCGCGCATCTGTCCCTCGAAAACCAATTGAAACTCCATCGCTCTGGATTTATGGTGTAAACGGTGAAAGTAACCCAGGAAAAATAGTATTATTATGTAGCGGGAATTAAAAATGTGTTAAGACTTTTGAAATGAGTATATCACAAATGCTGCTAACTATAAATACAAAACAGTTCTGCCCGTAAGGGCTTTGAGTTTACTTAAATATCGCTGAAGTTACTAATTTCAAATTTCCCGCTGATATATAATCAAATTATATGAATCATCCTTATTGGCTGCCGAAGCAGAGTAGGTAGACGCTAACATCTAAGGGCAATTAAAAAAGTTGTTTGGTTCTCTTACATAGTAGATAAAAATGGTTTCATGAAAGTTTCAAGTTTTTCAAGTGTGTGACAGACATAAAAAAAATTTTCAAATAGAGGATTATTAGACTCATATATTTCCTTGTCTGATGATTTCAATGTGTAGATCCCGTTTGTAAATATACATGTGTATATATATATACATGTGTTAGAAATTAAATATTTGAATTTACAAAAATAACATTTCTTCGAAAATCATCCGCTTGACCGGGTACGGCAAATGAAATGTAGATCGCTCGATTTAAATAGTTGTTTGACCAGTTATTTCCTTTTTTTCTAAGATCGACTTTACTAGCATACGAGGATTCACATAGTGAGCCTGTACTATGATATAGTGATCAAGGTCGGGTCAAGAGTTAGAAAGGGGCTAGAAACGAGAGAGGATCTCTCAAAGTTTATCACTCAAAGAAGAAATACACGTATGACTCGCGTCACCGATATTCTGACTAGACCACTCTGGCACATCTTATACAAGCTCATGAGGATATCCGAAAGATCGTACAGAGAGAAATGATCGAGTGGACTGTACCTTTCGCTTCTGGAATACATAGTTCCGTTAAAATTTCGCAGTGTAAGCAACCATCGCAATTCTAGTGACAAGCTTATCAGCTCGTATTCAGTCAATGTGGTAGGGTATCTCGAATTAATAATGAAAATCACTCATTGATCTTATTTTCAACAACTCACCTCCATTTTCATTGTTGCTAGTTGCTCGGTTAACAGTCAAACACAGACTAGGAGTTTATCGGGTGTTTCCGATAGAGAATGCCAGATAGGAAACTTATTTTCATTCGCTTATCTGATCGTGAGAGTCGAGCAATATCTAATCCAAATATCATTCCGTTTTACGTCACTGAGTGAGCATTTAGTCTAGAAGATGAGTTACACCTCTTGGTACACAACTTCTTAGAACGATGTTCTGTCAATGTATTTCTCAGTTGAACGGCAGACACTTTTACATCGATTGTGCTATTCTTTTCAATATTTCTTACTTTTTCTACATATGATCTCCTCGTTACTGGTATTACTTAAAGTCTTCTATACGCTTAGCTCTTTTAACTACAGAATAGCTGGCTTGACTTCACACTTAGACTTAATGCTTTCCTGACTCATAGAAATAATCCACGGTCGTTCCTCAAGTCCAAGGACGCGGAAACACACTCGACTTTCCTTACCCCCTTCACGAAATCGTCAGGCTTCACTTGGATACAAGATATTTAGGAAAGACTGTGACGAACTGCTCTTTACTACTATGTTACTCCACACCTGCCATTTTATCCACGTTGACCTTGTTCTCCGTCCGTTCTCCAAATAAAAGCAACAAGATCGGTAACGCTTTTCCCATCATTATTTTCGTATAATGCAGGAATAAGATATTTGTGGATAATTCATTATGTTGCAAATTAGATCATTGAGTATTTAGGAAAATGATAATTACGATTCTGTAACAATGCTTGTTGGACAATTTGTAGTTTTATCAAAAGTATTATTTGTATACTTTTATTTATAAGAGATATTATATATGTATAGGTGTATCCATTTATAGAAATCACAATAACGTGTTATTCTTGTTGACGATATATGTTATCTAATCGCAATCTCAACGTATTAACTTTTATTATTTCTAAGAATTAAGTACATTGCTTATTCGTGTGTGATATCATGCTAATCATTTACTTTCTTTAAATTTTCCCTCCATTTTCATTTTTTTACGTTATAAGAAGCAAAGGTTATGTTATATTGAATAGAGTGTAGCAGGATTTTAATCTTGTTTATAAAATGCAGACAACGCCCAAGCAATATAGCAATGAACATTATAAAAGTACGGAACAATACTCACCTGTTATCGGTAAGGATTCTGGAATATACCTTATCAATCAGAGTTTTAACACTTAAGATATTCTTTCGAAGTGTATCCTTGATATATTTTTTGCGCCTTGATATTTACCATTATCAGTGTCTACAGTTTATGTATTAAATTACACATCATATTAATATTTTTAGTCCCAGAATCACCTGTGTCAAAAGGAACGAATTTAACAGGTAATCCGCGACTAGTACGTGATTTGTCAGCTGATATACATGCCAGTATTCAACAATGGAACAATATTCATTTGCATGGGATATCCATCTTAAAAGCCATAACGCAAACAAAGGTCGATGAAAGTTATTCTGAAGAATTACAAAATTTGTGTGATGATTTGGAAAAGGACTGTAATTCATTGGTAATATATCGTATGCTCTTTACCTCAGTTGCTGCGTCTAGAGGATCAATTATGTCTAAAATATATTCTTCCTCAAATATACACTTTACACAATGTTATTTTATTAGGCGGATATTGTTGACAATTTAAAACAATTGTCACATCAGATGAAAGCTGTAGCTTCACTGCATAAGAGCAAGGAATACATGTTTTTAACATGGCCAGTAGAAATATTTGGTGATTACACTATTATATTTTTCATAACTAATACAGCTATTAAAATAAAAATAATATTTTCAAATTGATCTTCGCAGGTGATGTAGCTAATGAAATATATAAAGCATATGAGAAAGACCTTGCAGTACGTTATAAGGTTCTTGAAAATGTTGCACACGATCATAAAGAGTCTTGGAAAATGTTACATTTGGCCACGTGGGTACATCAAACTCAAATATCTGAGAAGTTAACAAGATTATTGGAATCGATGCTTCTAGAAACTGGACATAGATAACTAAAAGGAAAAAAAAGAACGCATTAATTAAAGAATGTGTATTACAAGAAACTTTTTTTATTGACATCTTATATGTTATGCATTTATACTTTATACGAGAATAAATCAACGGTAAATTTTACTCTCTAATAAGAGATCATTCACTTTACTCAATACTTGAGATCGCAAAGAATTTTTCTAGATTTTTGATAAAGCATGTACATAGCATTCAATTTTTTTTATCGAGATCCTCACACTGTTTTCGTATGCCTTGCATCATACATATATCAAACCGCCACTAAAAGTACCAAACGATAAAGTTAGCACCCCAGATTTTTCACACATGAAACTAGTAAATAGCTAATGATTTATCCGCATACATAATTTCCTTAGTAACTTATAGGCTTGCATATGTTACATATTTACAATGTAGTAGTTATTTTTACACACTACAAAAAAAAACTGTAACAATGTGGATGGAATTGTTTTAGTAAGTCAAAGCACAATTCATTTGAAAATCACATTTTTAACAATTTAAATGATTTTTCAATTGACTGTTGTGTGATATTTTGTTTTTATATTGATAGCACGAATTTTTATTTTAAGTTGTCTTTGTGATAGTATTAAAAATATCAAGATATATATGAGATGTTATAATCATAACACGTTTTCATGTTTTAAATAACATCTCACGTCATTATTCATATTTAGTGTAATTGTTACAGAATTAAATGATAATCTATAGCACAGTCATTAACAAACTTAAATACATAAAACTTTGACATACTTAAATAAAAGATTTTATTTATAAATTGTTTTTCTTAATCTTTTGACTGTTCACTGTAACTAATCTCACTATGCTGTATATGATCAATTCCACGTAACAAATATGAGACAGATTATCTTTCGATGAAACTATGAATTCTGATTATATGTACCACAGTGTAGAATAAAACGTACTTTTTATCTTTCTTTACAGAATATTTACAGAAATAACTTAATAGCATCTAAACTAAATATAACGTTAGGTCACAGGATCCAATGATCAAAGTATCTTAGTAAAATACCAAACTGATTGATTAGATATTATATCCAAAGATAAAAATATCGATCCTTCTAAAAAGGCCGTTTTATGTCTTTGTGGATCACTGGATTTACATATTAAAAAAAAATATATAAAAGTATCGTGTTTATATACAGGAGCATAACAATAACGTTTTTACGAATATTTGTCGCTTGATATCTCAATCAACATGTACAAAAGTAATAGGACAAAATGAAAAAATAGGTTTCTTATTCAAAGGGGATTATTTCATGAGAGATATCTTTATACCATCATCTACAAGTAGTCGTGAAAAAATGCCATCATTTTCTTCTATACACTGTACAAGAACTTCTGTACTCTACAGGAGGAATTATGGAAATGCATCCCAAGAATCAACTCCTGGTATTTCTGTTAAATTCCTCACTCAATGCTTCAAAATCTAAATCTGTATCCAAATTGGAATTGTTTGGCATCAAACTGTTCTCCAAAATATTATCAGGCATTATGTTTTTTAATCGTTCCGACACTAACTCATCAACTAAATTTGTTTGATCAACTAAATGTAATTGTTCGACCAGTTTTTCATCGATCAATAAATTTTTGTCAATTACACCACTGGTATTTAGGATATCTAAATGAGTAATGTGATCATAGTTACTAATTTTCGATATGTCCAGATTCTCTGTACTACCAAATATACTGGAATCACAACCGCTGGAAATTATTGGTACAGTGTCTTGTAAAATTGGCAAACTGTCTGAGATTTTGCAAATTGCCGTGGTTGATAATAATTTGGAGGAACTATTTTCTAATGACATTCCCTCAGTCTTGGCGCCCGTTAAGTCGGAGCAGCTGATTGAAACTGTTTTGGATACCAACTTTTGGAATCCTTTGGTGAAATTCTGTGAGCCATTTTCAATGTTATCAAAATTATTTTGAATTTTATTAAAACTCTGTGAATTCTGTTTTTCGTAAATACCAATCGTACCATTTTCTATCTTCACAAAATCATGATCCATGCGTTCTAGCTTGATAAAAGCTTGTTCGAGAGGCTCCAATTTTTCCTGTCCGAAACTATCCAATTTGTCAAATACTTGAGAGCAACTTGCATTTTCTATGTTTTCTCCAACCTTACTGCTGTTCATATCGATTTTTTGGAATCCAGAGGAATCGGTTAATTTATTTTGAATACTCGGACTGGAGATCAATAGCTTCGAAATATGGCTACTTGATTTAGAATTCTCGTTGTTGTTCACTTGACTGGGATTTCGCGGCATTAATGTGAGAGCCGTGAGTACTTCAGGACAATTCGAACTCACCCCGGAATCAGTTTTCCTCTCGGTCAAAAATTCAGATACACTAAGATCCGAGCTTTCTGAAAATCCACTGGACAATCTCTCATCAATATTTTCCTTACCTTCCTCTGAATTCTCTACCTTTTGCAACTTCAAGGGGGGTTCTTCAATACTCGCTGTTACAGTTTCCTCTTCTTTCTTAAGAGCTCCATTATTTATCTTGTAACGCCCCGGATTAAGTCCAAGAGCATCGCAAAGTAACTCTTCAGTAAGGTTAATTACATCCTTGTCTGGTTTGTCCACATCTCTAACAACAGTCAACATCGCACCAGCCTTTTCTCGAATTTTATTCATCAATTCTTTCAACTCATCCAGGAATGTCCTCACGTTGTTATCCGATTTTAATATCAACAACTCGAACAATGACTTAGCATTGAGCACTGGTTTAGCTGCGATTTTTATTATTTCAAGATTTTCACAGACGGAAATAGCTTCCTTTAATTTGACTTGACGTCTTTCAGATTTGGCTTCCGGCGTGACGTAAGCCCAGGGTCCACGTTTTTTCCCTTTGCGCTTTAAAGGATCTTGAGCAGGAGTCTGTTTTAGTTCTGGTTCCAGTGTCGGTGGTGGAAGTTGCTCTGGACTTCCATGATCTGGATGCATTTCAAAATGTCTAGCCATGCGCGTTCTGCCCAGATAAATTTTGTTACACGTAGGACACCTAAAGTGATCTGATATTTTGCGTTTTGGGACTTCTAAACCCGTGAGAAGTTCCTTGGGTGATTCTTCATCTTCCAACTTGTCGCTATTAGTATTGTAGTCACTGTATCCTCCATCGGAGTCATCCAAATCAGGCTGCATGAAGTCTAGATGATGTAAATGTTTGTAATCACGTACCATGTGTCTGGGTGGTCTAGATAATCTGCCAGATCTTGTTCTGGCAACAACCTTTTTACGTTCATCCTACGAGAGAACAATGGGTAAATGACAAACAAGATACTCAGAAAGAAAGAATGTGGGTTATTAAGAATTACCTTGATCTCTTCTTGATCGTCCTCAGGAAGCGTTGTTGATTTCGACGGCAAAGTAGGTGGCCTCACAGCATTCTTTTTGGGTCTACCTCTTTTTCCACCACGACCTTTCAATAGAGTCCCAGGTGTTCTGGTCCGCAAATCCAATTCTTCCGGAAATACCACTCTATACAGAATTTATATAAGTAAAGAATAGGACAACAGTATTGTATTTTATATCTTTCTTAAGTCAATGTACCTATATACAATTCTTTCATTAGGCATTGTTACTTCTTGACTACGTTGCTGTAATACATGAGTGATTTGCTTGAGTTGTGACTGAGTTAGTCTCTGCATACTGAAATGAGAATGATTATTAATTACATGTAAAAATAAGATACATGTATTATAGAATTTTTATAAAATACCTATGAAACATGTGTCCTTGTTGAACGATTTGTATTGGATTTTCACTGGATCCTAAAGGCTTAGTGGTGTCATTTTTTTCTGTTGTCACAGCTGTAGGTTTTTGTGTTGGGACAATTTTTGCTTTCTTGCCAATTTTTACAGCTGTACAATTGACTGGAACAGTTGATTTCTGCTTGACAGTACCATTTTGAGGTGGTTTTATGCAGTCAAAATCATTTGAAGGATTTACCACTGGAGTCTGAGCCGTCGTAGGTGTGTGGAGATTACTTGAAATGCTGCTTACAACATTCTGTGAGTTAAGCATCAAATTCTGCTTTGTGGAATTACTGAATGCAACTTTTGCTTGTGGCTTCAAAATTGATATAGGACTCGATATCATTTGCGTAGGTCTCAAGGTGGATGCAGAACATGTGGTGGCTGTTTTTAAGTCTTGAGATTTTACAATAGATGCTGTTCTGAAGACAACCGGCGAGCTCGTATTTGCAGTAGTTTTCGTTAATAGCGTAGAGGTTGCATTTGTACCTTTAATAGTACTTGCAGACGATCTCAACATTTGTGCTGGTATTTGTACTGATTTCAAAAACGGTGTAGAAATAGCTGTTTTTAAATTAGCATTTGTTAAAATTTGACTTGTCTTAATTGTCTGGGAGGTATTAGATGTGTTTTTCAGAATTGGAGTAAGAAATTGTTGAACGTTGCCTCTTTGTATGGAAGCCTGTGATGATTTTACTGCTGGAGATAAACGAATTTGCGAATTCAATACATTTTGAGTTGACATGGGTGTTCCATTAACAGCTGAGGCAGAAATATGCGATGTGTTTATTACTGGGTTTGAAATATCACCAGCCAGTATTTGCGACGTGTTTAATAATTGTGCAGAAATATTGTTAGTATTTAGTAATTGTGTAATAGGTGTTGCTTTAATAATCTGTGGTGATAATGTGTTTAATAATGTTGTTTTAGGCAGCAAAATTGAGTTTTGACTTGAATTATTAATTGAATGCACTGTATTAATAGTGCTATTAGTGATTTTACTTGTATTAGGAAGAATCCTGATATTTTTTGCAGGTTTTAATAAAGTCTGTGGTGGTTTTAAAATAAATTGTGAGGAGGACAAGATAACTGGTAATCTTTGCAGTATTTGTGCTTGAGAGTTTGGGATGCTTCCAAGTTGTGCAGCCTGTATTTGATTTCCCTCAAAACTATACTGTATATTGTTTTCTGTAGTATTCACGACTTGTGCCTCTTCCAAACCAATAGTGTTCCCTTTTTCTTGCGCAAGGAATGTTTGTGAATTAATATTCTTTTGACCAATATTATTCGACTGTTTTAGTATCCTATCCTGTACAGAGTTCTCAGCATTACATACTTCCATTTCCTCCATTGATATATCTTGATTGATACTTTCTTCAACCAGTGACTCTTCTTGTATACCATCTTGTGTAGGCCAATCTTGAAAGCTGATAGATTCTGATTTCTGAACATGTTTAATTCCATTATTGTGTTCAAGATTAGATTGAAAACTAATATGATCAATATTAATGGTATTCGAAGTAGGTGAAGAATCTCCTTCTTTTACTTCATTAACATCATGTGCATCAAGGTCCTGTTGTAAATCACAGTACATTCCTGTCTGTTCTTGCTGATAGGATATCTCCTCGGTAGCTTCTTCACTCGAGTCAACCTCGAAGGTTAACCCTAGTGCAGCGGCTTGCGCTTGAGTCAAATGTATTGTCTGCGATTCATTGCTATCAGTTTGCAAAAACGCAACAAAATCATTCTCGTTATCCTCCTCATCCACAACCTGCTGGAAGGCTCGCTGGAGAAGATCTGAGGTGCCCGAAGATACTACACCGTTTGTAAACACAGAGGAATTAGCTATCTCAGCCATATCTAAATACATAAAACTCTTATTGCTGTATCACACTCGCGACAACAAATATTTCATAGTTCACAGCTAAAATAGTGGATCCTTTTTATCGAAATTATATATCTGCGTATTACTTTCATGAATTTTATTATTACCCTCCACGTTTTCGCGCAAACAGAAACACACACGAGCCGTAGAATGAAGTTCGCCGCATTTCACTTTGGTACACCAAGAAAATGGCGCCAGGCGGCATTAAGGGCCAATCCTCAATGATCGCCATAAATCGTATGATAATGTATAAACCAATAAACTCATCTGTAATATCTTGTGGACGAGCACCATTCGTCTAAACCTGAACTATATATTTTACAGCCAGAATTGTGTAATCATTTTTAGGGTTCGTGCAAACAGAGATGAATAGGGAGATTGCCAATGGGCCGATATTCTTGAAACCAATTTTATTTTGGAGTAAACGCGCCACCTGAGCGGTGGGCCGTCGAACCATACCCACGTTTTTGATTGGTCGAGTATATATAGATATACTACGCGTGATATTCGTGAGCTCTGTGAGACGCATGGATTATACCGGGTGGCACTGTAAAGCGTGTGTTTTCTATTGTCGACGCGTCACCTGGACGGAGTAGCTTCGAACCATACACACGTTTTCGATTGGTTGAGCGTATGTATGAGAGTACTCTAAGCAAATTCCAAACGTGTATAACAACTGAAATACAGTTTTCCCAATCTGTACGTCACGGTAACTAAATATCATATGTGCATGGTAACGAGTCAACTTGCGAGAGTCTCGGGTTCTAGACCCGATTATTATTACTTTTTTTTATTCATGAACAATGCTTATTGAATCTATTAATTAACTTGGAATGTAGCAAATGCATGATTATATTATACTATATACATTTTATTATATTATACAGTCGTGTCTATTTTTATGCCGTTGATACGTTCCACAGAATTAATAAAAAATATAAGTGAAGTAGAAGGAGGAACCCGGAATTTTCATGAACCCTCAAAACCGCATTAAAAAGCCATCTGCAAATGGATTTTACCCATTGAAATGCTATATGTAGATATACATATATTCCGCATATAAAGATCGCGAGGCACAGAATACATGGGTATGCCCAGTCTATTGACATATAGTGTGGACTACGCGATCCCTACCTTAGATCCTTTGAAAAAGTGTCCGCTCAAATAAACAAAGAGGAAATGAGGTGGCGGCCAATGGTTCTCCTTTTTTAATGTTCCCATTGCCTGTTTTATATACTCTCGTACTACAGCTGCTGGTTAGAAGATAGGGCTTGGCCGCCACCAGTCGCTATCTTTTTCTTTCAGCCGACCATTTTTTCTGTCTATGCGTAGTCCATACTATATGTTGATGGACCAGTCTATTTGTACTCATAAAGGGAGGTAACGGTATGGGAAATGAAGTTCCGAATGAGACTTCGTAGTGATGTAACCTCATACCATGCTCATAGTTCTACAGACCAATGGGCAGCAAATTTTGAGAAAAAGAGCCCTAAAGTTTGTATGGGAACTTATATATCTAAAGGTATAACCTAGCTACAAGTGGTTTGGCGGGCGAAGCGGTAACGTGTCAACTTGATTAGCCAAGGGTTCCGTGCTCGAATTTCTGTGCTCGTGAATTTTTATTTCACGAATTTTTTTGCATTTTATTTCTGAATTTGTTTAATATTATAATAATAATCATGCAAATATATGTTGTCATTATAATTCTATTATTTTTGCTTGTTGTAAATAATAAAAATCAGATTGTGAAAATACGTAAATACAAATACAATTTCTATTCCTAGTTTTCTTGACTGTATTATTCCTCTATACGCAATATTTTATATATTATACTCCATATAAATATTTTACAGCGGTAGTTCTTGTAAATAATAAAAATTAGATTGTGAAAATATGTAAATACAAATACAATAACAGAGACAGAGGCGATGATCTCAAAATCCTACTCCCGGACTCGCCGCTACGATTTAGCGCCATGCTTTTGGTATCGCCTAAAACCGGAGCGTTGTGCATCTCCCTACTCATCTCTGAAGAATATCGGCCCATTGGCAATCTCCCTATTCATCTCTGGTGCAAATGAGAAGAATAAGAAATTAAATATAATAGCATTTGCGATACACTGCATTAGTTACGCAATAGGATCAAATTACCCACATTTGCTGTAGCATTATTGGCTAAATACTAGGATATTTTCTCTCAGTCCATACATACCGAATAGAGTGAATCGAAAACGACGGTATAAGATATGCAATCAAGAGGCGTTGTTCTATAAGGCCAACCCGGCATATTTCTTTTAGATACACTATATTATAGGAAAATTCTATTAGAACCAACCAATAAGACATTACATTTAAAGCCCGTTCTACAGTGGCACCGTTGTCCGTAAAAGTTTACAGTAAGGCTCGTTTTCTTCAACGTTAATCAATCGATAAACTCCGTTTATCTTCAAAATTATCTTAAAACCATTGAAATTTGATTTATAACGTAATCATAGTGTTATTTTAATTCTGCATCTGAATATGCCGCTCAGTTGCAATGTCTCTATTTGTCACTTGGCCGCGATATAATATGTTGAAAGACTCACAGTTGGTATGATTATATCATGTTATACCTATTGTTTTTGCCCTAGATGAATTTAGTGTTCAATTTTCTTTTTATTGTATTATTATTTATTGTCATTGATTATACACACTATCAAGAAATAAAATACCAAAAATAATTATATAATTATATTTTTCTTCTGCATGTAATTTCTTAATCTGTTCTTAATATTCAAATATACATATTTGTTTGAAATCTCTGTTGAACAATTTTTCCTGCACTAGGACGCACCGATGAAAATTTCCTAAGACTTCTGCCATTTCATTCGTCAATAACTAGTGAATAAACTAGTGTATTGCAGTTGATCTGATTCAATCTGATTGCAGTATTCTTGTCATGTGCTCTGTGAGCAATGACAAAATGTGGTAAATCCCTCAATTATTAGATGTAGTGATATCTATATTATACACGTATTGTACAGTTACACAGTAAGCTATGCGTTGGAAAGTGCTAAAATCCAAGTACAGTATTATTTCAAGCCAGTTACATGAATGAGGTGGAGCTATGTTACTGGTAGTATATTTTTATTAAATATTATTCGAAGTCAAGACGTTTTTAAGAATTTATACCTTTATGCATTTTGCATTTTCTTAAACAGTCATATTTTATGCATACATGGAACATGAATAATTCTTTGAAAAAATTGGCTGAAAAAGGCATTATTCAAGATGTATCAGACACCACAATGTACTATGATTACCTGTGTAAAAGTTGGTTAAAGGAATCTGATTACAAAAACCATATTTTTAAGTCGAAGCATCAATTTGCATTATCTGCATTTAAAAAAGAATTTAAAATACATGGTGCTACTGTGACATGCAGAGTATGCGAATTTGAAGGTGATTGGCCTGCTGCAATTTCTCATAAAAGAGAGTGTCATGGGTCTCCTATTAAACACCCTTCTCATGATATGTATGCAAGATTTCTTATGAATACCATTATTAAAAAGAAGCAGCAGTACTATTGCCATGTATGTTCATATGAATTATCAAACTGCCTTACGACTCTTAATCATATTGAAACATTAAATCATCAAGACGAGAAAGCTAAGCATGATTTATCCAATCCATCATTGAAGAAAGATCTGCTGAAGGAATGTGATTATAAGCGCATTGTGTATGGTTGTATATATATTGGAGACAATGGATTTTTCATATGTTATACTTGTAAAAGCTATCTATTGGACATACCAAGTTGTTTGCAGCATCTTGATTCTTGTTCAAATGGAGATATAAAAAATCTAAACTTAAATTGTAAGGTAGATGATTCTACATCTGATGATAATGGATCCAATAAAACATATAATACCAATGGAAATTCCAATATGCTTTCACATTTGGTATCACAATGTACTCAACAAACAGATTTGAGGATTACAAGGTCACAAATAAGGCAAGGAAATGTAGTGAAATTAGTACCAGAATGTATGCAATCTGATGTGAGTGCTATCACTCTTGTTAAAAAATTAATTCCACTCCTACCCCAGAAACGTGAGAAAAAAGTGAAAACAGGAAAGATTCCTGAAATTGATGATCATTTTAATCAAAAGTTTTTAAAATATCATGCCGATGATATTGATACAATGGATGGAATAGGGAATGCAGAAATTAAACTGAGCACACAACGATCAGTTAGAAAAAAATCATCCTATATACACTGTCTGCTTTGTAATAAGAAAATAATGGATGATATTCATTCTTACTATCAACATTTGCATACCAATTACCACATTAGCATTCTCACTTCAACTGAAGCAATAAATGATAAATGCAACCGTTGCAAGGAAAATAAGAAAAGGGGTAAAACTATTGGAGAAATGAAAAGAGATATAAATTTGATAGAAGAGTTTATTGTATTACATAACACAAAACAGGTAAATTGTGTCATATGCAACTGCATTTTTTTGAATGAAACAGATGTTATTCGTAAACATACGTTGAATAAACAGCATAAGGAGAATCATGATTACGCACGTAAAGTTAGTGAGCAGCTTTTCGAAAATGTTGTATCATTTTCACTTAATTGGTATAACACTTATAAATATTATTCATGTTTAAATAATCAAAAATTTAAATCAGATATTGACTTTAAAGCTGTTCTCAATGAATATGCTAGTAAACCAAAAGATCTATCAAAGGTTTGTAATTTACATGATGAGAAAAATCAATTCATGTCATGCATATATTGTGCTACAGTATGGTATGGACCACCAGTTACTCGTTTTGAGCACTCCTCCAATAAAATGCACCTGTATATGATGAAAAGTCGTGACTTTTTGAAGTTGGAACTAGCAAGTGGTGTTAATTATTTTTTAAAAAATTTCGAGCAAAAGGCTAGTGACATGGTCTTAAATGCAGATCTAGTTCAATCAAAAGAGGAAGATAAGGTACAATTAATAAAATGCTTGGAAGACACAGTGAAAAATACATATCCAAATGTAAAAGCTCATGCTTTTGGATCAAGAATATCAGGAACAGGATTCCTTGATAGCGACATAGACATTTTTCTTGATTGTGGTAAATAAAGTCTGATAATATGCATAAGATTTTTTTGTAGTCTTTCTACACTTATTCAATTAGGATATCAAAAAGTATTTTTTTTCAACAAGTAAATTAATATCATTTTAGAAGGAAACACTTACAAGGGAGATAATACTACGTACTGTCAAAAATTATATTTTACTAATGTTGAGCAGTGCATAAGGAATAAGCCAGAATATTGGGAAGTCATAGAATTATTACCAAATTCACGAACTCCGATAATAAAATTGTATCACAGGGACACAGAAATAAAATGTGACATATCTTTTTCAAACGGGCTAAGCGTTGAGAATACAAAACTACTGAGGTATGCAATTTCTTTACATAACCCTATAACTGCAAACCTTTCTGGTCCTCATATACAGTTATACGGCAAATATTGTTAATTAATAATTGTACTCTGTTTGATCTACGCAGATGTTTCAATAATAAATCTCCACTGTGTCGAAAGATGATTCTCTTCTTAAAAAAATGGCTCTCTCTCTGTGGTCTTTCGGGTCCTTGGAATATATCAAGCTATTCTTTAGCTTGGTGTGTAATTTTTTATCTACAAAAGGAACATAAAGTTTTTCCTAGCATCGCTTCGCTGATTGAAAAAAAAAATCAATCTCACATTGTAGCTGGTAAAATATTCATTTTTTTTAAAAAGTCTTCATTAAAAGACCTATTTTATTTCATATGTTTGCTTAATTGAACATTTAATATTTTCAGGTTGGGAAACAGGAGTTTCTTATGATTTCACCATTAATAGTACGAGTGTGACTTTTAAGGACATTTTGATTGGATTCTTCGATTATTACGCAAAATTTAACTACATGGATAACGTAATTTGTCCTCTTTTAGCCGATGTCGTTCTAAAACGATCATTCGCAGACTGGAAATGCCTTTCTGATAAAATGAGAATTTACCGAGCACAGTTAGAATCTGAAGTGAAAGCAAAATATTTTCGTATTGACTCTCCCCTGTGTCTACAAGATCCTTTTGATCTTTCATATAATATCACAATGGCTGTGCAAAAACTGACGCTTAATAGATTCCGAAAATATTGCGAACAAAGTGCAAACGTGCTGAGGAATATTTGAGCTTTGATGATGTTATAGAATCAGCAATGCAGGACATGAACAAGTTATAGTACTTTGTATTTATTTTGAATTTATGACAGACTTTTAGAATTCATTAAAAGAACAATATTTTTTTAAAGATTGTAATACTTTTATGAGGTATAAGACATATATATTTGTATAACATATAACTCGAAATCCATAAAGGACTTTAAGAATTGACACAAATATATTTTTTAACGATGTTTGAAACTAATAAACTTAAAGAGTCACCAATTTTTTTAATTGACTGATTCTCAAATAATAAAAGTTATTATTTCTTCTGTAGTTGAAGTGTGATAGAAATATTTTCTAAGAGTAACTTTAACGTAACACAATATTTATCATACCGTTATTCGCTATGAGCGTGCATACACAGATCACATCTAAGCATCCATTTCAATGTATTTCAGAGTACCTACAAACAAAAAGTCTAGCAGAAAATGCTAACACAATTAGTGGCGCTGACAGAATGCACTTGCAGAGTAATACATGCTTAGATTCGGATTCGCGTATGTATGACACACATAGCCAATACCACGGTCTTACATACAGATCTTTGGAAACGAACGTGATGGGGGTAGTCCCGCTTAATATCCAAATTCAATAACTTCAATTTACGATACAAGGTGCGCCATCCATAAGGGGTATGCGACAGAGATGGACGATAGCTTGTGTTACGTGAGGGGCAAAGGGGGAGGGCACCCCAGTACTAGTGGCGACGCGCCGAAGAACTAAAAAATTTGGACAGTAAGAGGGTCTCCCCCCCCCTAAAAAGTGTTTTCGTTGCAAGACCTGTATGGGTGCTTTCCATTTACTGGCGCAAGTTGACACAACTCGACTTGTGTCGCGAAAAATGCTTTCCATTTGATTTGTGTCGCCGTGCGTCGGCAACACAAGTCGACTCGGGAAGACTCTGCTAGAGTGGTGAGTTTACGAGAGTATCTGTGTTCCATTTATTCGTTTTCGAGAGTCGACATGATTCGACACGAGTTGACACAAAAGTTATGTAAATGGAAAGCACCCTATGTAAGACCGTGGTCAATACTTAAGTACGCTGTACTTTAGATTATATAGGATTATTCAGCAGAAACGCACCACCTGAAGTTAGCCCGTCTATTTGATCTCAATGGTAGAATCATGTTCAGGTAGTGTGTTTCTACTGAATAACTCTATATGTATGTATAAAAAAAAGTCTATTGTGAGACAAATGAATATTTTAAATTTTGCGTAATAAACCTAAAGTCTCATTTTAAATATCGTATCAATTTGTCATTCGCCATGCAAAATTGCAAAATGGAATGCATATAAATTCGCCATATAAATTCAAGAATACCGATTGCTGACCTCGAAAATTCATTTTCGTAAACTTCCCGACAGATGTCAAAAACACAATGCCGGTATTTTCCTTTTTACTATTTTTGATATTGCGTACCATATCCAGGGGATCGATTGTGTAACTCAAATGTAGTGAAAATACGAAAAATGAATGGCTGTTAGCCAAACGCGTGTTAGGTGCAAAAGAAGACAAGCACAGCGATTGGCTAACAGCTATTCACTTTACGTATTTTCACTACATTTGAGTTACACAATCGATCCCTTGATCGAATTTCCCCGCTCTGCACGTGGATAATTACGTTTTTGGCTCATTTTCGAACACACCTATAGTCTACAATGCTTCAGAGCATGTAAACGTTTGCACGACGAACAGACTTATGCTCAAATATGTCATTTGTGTTTATATGCCATAGTGAATAACACTTACGTTACGCATCTTTTTGATTTTGATAGCCGCTAATATTTCACGTTATTCATAAGGAATGTAATGACGTTGATCAGATAATTATTTTGGATTCCTTGCATACTAATTTGTAAGAATTTCGTTTAGCATTAACATTTATTAAACTTTTGCTTCAGACATATTAATTTTATGACTTTTTAATTACAATATTTTATTACATTGCAGTTATAGCAGTAATGGATGAAGCTTGTGAGTCAGCCTTTCTTCATGAAGGAATATTACCGACTGCAAACCCACATGATTATCACTGTTATATTTGTGACAAAGATATTAAAGGTATAAAATGTGGTATCCAACATTTACAAGGTAGACCTCACATATCAGCGCTTAAGAAATTTGAAGAATCATATGAGAAATGCAATGGACTTGTGATTTGTAAGATATGCAAGTTTGAAGGTTCATGGCCTATGTATACAATGCACAAATCATTCCACAATTCTTCGATAGAAAAAAATTCCAATAGTACTTCCATGAGTAACCATAATACAAATTTTAATGATATCATTGGTAATAAAAAGCCACAGGATTTGTATGAAATGTTTGCACTACACTTTATTTCGAAACATCAACAACAATTTTATTGTCATTTGTGTTATTGCATATTGCCCAGTTGGTTTCATGCATATCAACATATTGAGAGTGAATTGCATAAAAAAAGCCTAGTTGGAGTAGTTACAACATTTTTACCAGGCAATGATACTACAGAATTAAACATCTTAAAAGTTAGAGCGAGAGAATTGATTGAGAATTGCATTTTTCTACAAAAACCTCATGAGTATAATTGTTTTACTTGTTGTAAACTTGTATCAGGTTTACATAATTTAACTCAACATATTCATGGATCAAATCACAGAAAATGCAAAGCAACAGTAAAATTCATAGATAAGGAAACTGGCCAAATTCCCCAAAAGACACAAGTTGTTGCAAATAATGTGAAAATGGATAACAAAACACAACTTAAAATACCAGATCGTTTGAAATCGATGGTAACTGCACATGGAATACGAGTAATGGAAACTGAATTCTATTGTCCTGCATGTAATGTTGTAATGAATAATAATAGTGCAATAGAAAGTCACTTGACTTCCCACTTGAAAATGGTGTGGCCAAATTTTAAATCTTCATTGGATTCTCAGCCTAATCAACCAAATTCTAAGATTACAAATCAATCAGAAAATGAAAATTCGATTCCACACATTTGTAACTTATGTGACGTCAAAGTTCCATATGAAAAAATACTGATTCAACACTACCTTGGAAAGAAACATAGAAAATATATGGTTGAATTATTTGGTACAATAGAAAGTATTAATAAAGTAAAGACTGATGATGAAACTGAAGAAAATGTTAACGCGATAGAAAACGTTTCATACTTCTGTCCAGGTTGTGATCTTAAAGTACACAAAGTGGAGGCACTTCTAAACGTTAATCATAATTCACAAAAACAAGTAGGGCATACATGGGTCGTTATTCCTGGAAAAAAAGCGATTGCAAATCCAGCTGCCAAAGATGTTCAAAGTGCAGCAGGTAGTTTTGAAACAGACCTTAGAACCTTGACAGAAGAATTAGTATCAATACAAAGCAACAAGACTCGAAAAGGAAGGAAGCCAAAAAAATGCAATAGTGTTGACGATGTTGCATCTGTTAGCATTGCTGATAAAAACTCATCGCCAAAGGATTTTGTCTTTACTAAAGATTACATATTTGATGTTGATAAGAAAAAATTGCAGAAGCTCAAATTGAGTTTAAAGTTATCATACGTGATGGACAGCGAGAAGATGTATTGTCTTATTTGCGAAGTGGAGGTGTCTAGTAAATTGCAAAATTATTATGAACACATATGTAGCATTGACCACATGAAGAATCTTGCGCAAATGGAAAAGGACGATAAAGAATTTGAAGATTATACAGACCAGTTTAGTGATTTGAGTCTGGCTAAAGAATTCGTGCAAGAGCTCAACGATGCGATGGTTAAATGTTTTGCATGCAACGTGGAAATTGTTAACGAGGATCACAAAATTTTTGACCATATTGCTCTGGAGTCGCATGATTTGAAGCGGCAAGAATGGAATGCTGTGTCAGATATAATATGTGAAGATATACTTTCTGAAACTAAAAATCTGTGGTACAATGTTGTAGATTATGAATGTAAATTATGCAATTTTAAGTACAATTCTGAAGTTGACTTTGGCAAGCATCTAGATGAAAAGATACATTCCCAGCGTAGTTTGAGCTATCTAATGACAAGACAGGGAGAACTAATGTATGATTCTTGTATACCATGTTCTTTATTGTGGTTTGGAAATACTCTTTCATATGCGGATCACTGCAAGGAAAGGACGCACAAATATAAAGTAAAAAATAACAAATATATTATCAAGGAGTTACCAGAGAGTGTGAAGTATATGCTAACAAATTTCGATGATACTATAAATGATCTCGATAAGTTATCCAATGAGATTCGTATATTCGAAGAAAAAAAGGAAAAAGTTTTACTGAAAGATTTGGAGAGATCAGTACAGTCACAGATTTCCAAGGCAAAGGCCTATATATTTGGATCTAGAGCAGCGAATCTGTATTCTCTCAAAAGTAATGTAGACGTGTATATCGATTGTGGTGAGAAACTATTGTTTATATACAAAATTTGCTATAAATATATCTTATGAGTATATATTTTGGATCCGATTGAATTTTTATTCTGAACAGGGGATATGTTTTATGGGCAAAATTGCTTCAATGCACAATTACAATCTGTAATGAAAACACTTGAACAGTGTTTAAGCAGCAAGGATGAAGCTTGGTTAATTGAAAGTATCGTTGAGACAACAAATCCTCCATATTTTAAATTGGAACATAAACCGACTACATTAAAATGTAATCTGACCTTTGCAAGCGGCCATAGTGTCGTATCAACTTATTTTATAAAGTAGGTTAACAGATTCAAAAAAAGTAAATGAACGGAATACATAATTAAATAATTTTGCACTTTCAGGACTTTTAATAATAAATACCCAACTTGCAAAAAACTTATAATATTTCTGAAGGAATGGCTTTCAGCTTGTGATTTACTGGGGTCGTCATTCATAAGTAGTTACATGATTACTTGGTTGCTGATCTTTTATTTACAAAACAAGTTAATTTTTCCAAGCATTGCCTGCCTGATTGAAATGGATAATGCGTCAACATTAATTAAAGGTCAGTTTAAATACCTCATTATATTAGCTACATTTTTTTGGTTCTAAAATGCTCATTCGTAATAAATTATTAAGATGCCAATAGAACTAAGGACTATAATTTTTTCTTGTCACAGGATGGGAAACTGGTGTTAGCTGTGATTTTAGTATTAATCCATCAAAACTTTCAGCGAGGGAAATTTTGATTGATTTCTTTAAGTTTTACGCTGATCTTGATTACAGAAATCAAGTAATTTGTCCATTGCTTGGTACTGTCATAGAAAAACGTACATTCACAAATCCCTCGAATCTTCCCATACAAATGAAGGCTTACATCGATGATATTAAGGCGAAAAATATTCCATATTTCCGCACTGATGTACCTATGTGTATACAAGATCCATTTTTACTTTCCGACAACATTGCGGTGAAAACGAAAAAGCTAACGTTAAATCGTTTCAGGCAATTATGTACTAAAAGTGCTATTTTTTCGAAGAGCAGTTGAGATTGATTTGATTTGATTTTTTCAAAAAAGATGATTTATTTTTTATAAAATAGTATATTAACGAATGAAAGTTGATCAAGTTTATACGAGATATTAATTTTTATAACATATACGATTGACTAAACTTATTTTTGATGAGATGTTTCTTGAAATAATTCAAAGTTAATGTGAAAAATATGGAATTTATACCCTTTTTTTATTTTATTATTTTATGAAAACATTTATTTGTATGCATCAGAATGAAACTTAATAATTACGTGTTAGTCGGTAGTTTTTGTTTGTAAAAGTTTATAATCATCTTGATTGATATCCTGTTTCCATATATATTCTGTGACATAACCAGATTTGGGTATGCAGGATTCTGTACACGTAAATACTGCTAATATTCCCCAGTCAAGATCTTTCAATGTGTTGTCCAATTTGAGATAGTTTAGAAGTTGGGGCATTATCTGTAACGGAGAATGATTTCAATTAATTCACAATTATTTCACACAAAATAAATAGAAGTTACCTGAAACTCAAATTGTCTTTTACTGCCACATTCTTGGCATACTGGAATATTGGTTGGTTGATTACTTGAAGAGATGTATAAGGGTTTACCTCCTCTATCGTATCTTTAAAAAATATGAAATAAAAACATTTAATCTATTAAAACATTAATTTATGATAATTGTATCCACATACCTGAGAACTTGGTCTGGATATTTTTTAATTCGAATAGAAAAATTTGTAAATGTTTCATCTTCGATGCTGCTTGCCATTTTCAATAAATCAGCATCTACATCTTTCTCAGACTGAAGAGTTCCTGCTTTTCCTTCTTCTAACAACTTCTTATATTTCTCTATTTCTTGAGCTTCCTTATCATCTTCATCGTCCTTAGAATTCTCTTCAGACACTTCTTCACATTCAGTTGCTAATTCAAATTCAGGAAATAATATACTAGTTGCTCCTGCATTCTGACTAGTACCGCACGTGTCTTTGTGCCCATGTTTCCAGTCCAAAATTTGATGCTCACGACAGCAATAATTCACTTTCTTACATTTAGCACAGTGGCTAGATGCAAAAATACCACATATAACACAGGTTTTTCTCCATTTTGCTGCATCTATATACAATATTATTTACAATGATAAACTCTGTAAATAAATTTGGAATAATGATAAACCATGAATAACTATGTACTTATATCAGGTCTCCAATCTTCATGCTCTTCTGGTGGATCCGATGGATAAAATGCATTATTTCTTTCTAATTGTGATCTTAGGATTTTTAAATTTCCATTCTTATTCATCTTACAACATTCTGCAGATTTGCAAACAAAAACATAAAGTGTCCTATGAAATGCTCTCACATCTTCCTCATATGGTGCATATACTTGACACAAAAATATACAAGGCTGACTACAATATTCACACTCAAGATTTGTCTTGGCAGGAATATTCTTTAAATCTAGCCACGCTGGTTTGCCTCCAATTTTGCTTGGGAAAAATCGACTTTCCAGCCTCCAGTGTTCACACTCTTCTACAAAACCAATATCAACGTTGCCCATCTTTAAAGTTAATTAAAATCCATATGAATATTAGGTTAGGTTAAACCTCTACCGTACAAATAACACCGTGTTTATCATGCCACGTAAAATTATTTTTGTATTAAGTTGAAAATTAAATCACCAATATGAATATTTTATTAAAACGATAAGTTTTAATTATTGATTTAATCAGGATATCTGCTGCTTTGATGTCAAGAAAAACACGTGTCTGTCTCCACGCGCAAGTGGATTGGAGTAAACCGTAAAAAAAAATCATTAATCAAAAGATAAGGGTAGAAGACCAAACGGACAGTAATGACGCGTCTGTATGTTCTTTATTAAGATGATAGAAAAAGACAACAATTTCTCATATTCCGTTATTACGTACGTGTAAACAATATTGTATATGTTAACCTTGATTTTGGAGCTTAGGATATTCTGCCCTGATGAATTTTTCAGTCTATGTTAATAATTTCGGCTGGTGCCTCATCGTTTTTAGTTTCTTGATAGAGATGTTTCACATTAGCTAAGAAAATAACGATATTAGATTCATTTACAAATAAATGAACCTATATGTATAATTATTAGAAATTGAAATACATACATTTCATGATACTTTTTTGTTGAATGAGCCTATATTCATCTTCAAGAATTTGATTGTTTGTAATTTCTTTTTGCATTTTGCTTAAAGCATCATCTATCCTTTGGCATAGTGTTGTTGATAAATTCTCCATATCAGACAAATAACTTATTTCAGAAGCTGCCACTGCCATTTTATGAACATAATCCATAAAGCTAATCAGTTGCTGTATTTATGAAAATATGAAAAATTACTATGTATGTATAGTGCAGATACACTATATAACAATAAATGATAGAAACTTTAGATATTACCATGACTGTTAGCTTTTTTTCTTGTACTTCAGATCGTATTTTAACAATGTGATCCCAATGGGAGTCAGATACCTCATATGTAAGAGTTTCTTGTATCAGTACAATCAATTGACTTAACAAATATCTGGAAAATTCTTAATATAGTATAATAAATAGACAAATCACAACTCACGTGTATCAGTTTAATAGAATCACCTATATTCTTGACTAGTTGTTTCTATTGCAATGTACGTAACAGTCAAAGCCTGTGTTGCACTATTTACAGCTTGTATTGTAGATTGTTTTATCATATAATCGTATGATAAGTGTTCTGGAGGTTCCAGTGTTATTTTTTTATCACCTGGAGGCTTTTTTGAGGCTGCACAGTTCACGATAATTGGAGACGATGCATACTGCAGTTAAAATGTAGAATTTTGTCACATAATCAGTATAGCGCATAGTCTTCATGTATCATTATGGAAAAAAAAATCTTACTATGATAGGTGTAGCTTTTTTGACAACTGTACGAAAAATATTTCTGAAGGCCATTTCTCTTCTTTAGTACAAAATTACAGCAATAATGATAAAGAGTACGATGTCTCACATTGTACGTCTTGCTTAAAGGTTAGGTTGTGTTAGGTTGGAAACAACTCGCCGTTAATCATGTATTCAATGGAACTGATATAGTACTTCGCTGCATTATATTACTTTTTCAATTTTTCATACACAGTTAAATAATGTATCACCGTTTTCTTTATTTTACGCATACTTTAAATATTAGAGTAGAGGAACAAAGTATTTTTCAACAACTGTCATTGTACGCTAATGAGAAACAATTAGTTGAAAAATCCTTAGAACATCATGATTTATTTAGCTGAAATCCTATACTAATAAATACATTTTATTCACCCAATAAATAACAAATTGAATTATCAGAAATGTGATTAGAGGGAATTCAATGGAATGATGCAAAATAAGTACAGTAGGATGGTAATTCACTAATTCACCAAAAATTAATCAAATTGATAATGCAAGGACGAATTATTTATACAGACATCATGAGTTATCAATCAGCATTAATTTTTATCCATGCATTATCCCACATGAACTTCCTGGTACAGCGATAGGGAATAATTTAAGAGACTATTTATTCTGGAAAATACAAGAATATGTTCTGTATTGAACTGTGACACTGAATCAATCAATCTATTCTCATTTTCTAATTGTCAAGTTTACTAAAGTGAAGAAGTTGTGATTGAGGCACAGTTAATAAGTGTGTTAAAATGTCACAATCTTGAGCAAGCACTATTTGTTTATGCACTTTGTTATTATAAATTGCAGAGTTATTGTATTTTTTTCAAAAGAAGATAAAAATGAAAGTGAATGACACGTTTTGTTATGCAAAAAATCTAAAAAGAATTTCACAATGAAACATACAGCTAATACATTTGTGATAGTTCGTCCTAATATTAAATCACTTAAAGTGCAAGCAATATAAAATTCTTTGCACAGTAGAAACAACACTTTATACACATTATGTTTCACGTTTGTCCCTTGAATATGTAACTATAAAAGATACTGTTACATTTGCAAAGAGTGAAATATGAATGTATCACAAAACTCACATAGAGTGCAAGTTCTATATATCAAATTTTAGTATCAATATCACTGCTCATCAAGCTTCATTTCTCTTTAGTAAACTGTAACTGCCTCCTACTTTTTTAAACAGTTTAATTTATAAGTTTAAATTCACTAAGTAATAGATGTGAGCTAGTCAACTGTTATAAGTCTTGACTGTACACAGTATGAATTGTATTGATTATTAAAATTTTCACTGAGAACTCTTCAGTAAAGACTTTGGAACATGGTGCATCACCAATCTTTTATACTTGCAGAGACGATGGCATTCTTATCCTTTCATTATATACCGGTAAATGCGTTTATATAGTGGTATGGGATATCAAGAGAACTCGGTCGAATCGCATGCCAAGTATATTATACAGTAGGTGGCAACATGGGGTGCCTCCCATATAATGAGGTTAATGTAGTAATAATAAATAGCACATGATTTTTTTGGACATGAGAACTTTTACGTAGAGTATCCCGTATGGTTTCTGCACACCCAATTGATAAAGTTTAGGCAAAATACTGGTGAAACTTTCCTGCATAATGAATGGCCCACGCGCGCATCAATCGATGGATAATTAAAATTTATAGATATAAATAAAAAAAATAATTTTTAAAGTTCTTGATGTTGTTGATCAATTTTAACATTGGACTGTTTCTGACCATCAGATGTTTCCGGTAATGGTAAAGGTTTCTTTGCTATTTCTTCGTTTTCTACTTTTCCATTTTCATCAGTATCTTCGCTCTCTACTTGTCCGTGTTCTTCAGTATATTCGTTCTCCACTTTTCCATTTTCTTCAGGTTTCTCGCTTTCCGCTTCTGATGTGATTTCTGGTTCTGAACTCTCTGGCATTCCACTTGATTCCTCTTCAGTGTTTTCCGTTTGGTTTGAAGACGAATCTTGCTTCGCTTTCCAGATTTTTGTTTTGCTAACGAGATACTTCACCTCCCGGTCGAGAAGGGCCATTTTATTTGCTATGTCACGCACTTTGTATTTTATGTTTTCGAATAACGGGGTTTCGGCTACATACTTGACAATTGTGTCATAATAATCCTGTTAGACAGAAGTTTATAATTAATTAAATATTTATCTAATGACTCACTATTTTTTTTTATAACAAGAGCTTACCTGAGTTTCATTGATAACTCTTTCAAGGGTTTCCATCTCTACTGGAGTGAAGATTTCACTTGCAATTGTCAAGTTGCGCATATTTTTCAGAAAGGTAGTACTTCCATTTATCATGGACGTCATTCCCTTAAGAGCTTCTGGTCGTTCTCTATGCTCAAAGACTCTCTCAAAAAGATCATTGGTTAGCTTTCGAAGCTCAGCCAATTTCTCCTCATAGACATCAGCAGTCAATTCAAAACCATCTTCATAGAGCCATTCAGAAATTTCACTGCACGCTTTTAGAATCTTTTCAGATTCTTCTGGAGTCGTGGCTGCAATATATTCATCAATTCCCAATTTCTGTTGTGCATCAATGACAAAAGATTCTAAATTGTTGAATGCACTCTCGCGACGCGTTCTTTCCAAATCGTAGAGTTCCAAAGCATGTAATCTATAAAAAGATAAGAATTGAAAAAACACAGTTTATACTTTTAAATCAAGTTCGATAACTAAATATTTACTTTTCACGAGATTCGAGCAACTTCTCTCCAGCTAAAGGTTGTGATCCCAATTTAATTTCCTCGGCTGTAATCGGCTCTTTAATCGTGACCACTGTTAGTTTCTTCTCTTTATCTGACTTCTCAGTTTTATTTGTTGGTTTATCTTCGCTCGATTTCGTGTCATTTTTCTTCTTTGCATTTTCTTCAGCTTCCTTTTGCTGACCAGGATAATCCTGCTGCTCATGAACCGGTTTTATGTCTTCCTTTGGTAATTCCTCTACTTTATCACCCTGTCCCTTATCTTCTGAACCTAGAATTATTATTTCCATTTTATTGTCTTTATGAAAGAATTGCCTACAGACATGTATACTTGATCGATATAAAGCAATGATGCTTGAAGTATGTCGTCTAGTAGTATTTAAAAGGAAAACGGTCTAGTATTTTACGAAGAACACAAAAAAGATAATATAAAAGTATATAAAATCGAAAAACCATAGTATGAAAAGAAACGTAGGAATAAGTTAACGTGTTACAGATAAACTATTGTAGAGGACTATTTTTTACCAAACACGTGACACAAACCTGCAAAAAGTTTACTTATTGTTGAGCCAAGTTTTGAGAAAGTACCCTCTTCTTCTTCAACAGCAGCACCTATTTTTTCAGAAACCAATTCAACGTTCACCAAATTTAGTACACCGCTCTCATCCATTGCAAAGTGCGCTTTTATGCCTTTACTCTCAGCACCGTCCTTTGCATGTTTTGCCAGAGCCTCAGCAACTTCGGTTAAAGTAACGACCGATAAGCTCAAATTGCCGAGAGCCCTAAAATTTAATTTTTCAGTTAAACTCTGCATAGTATAATTGTTGACATAATAATATAATTTTGTATTCACGGACACATAATAACGATAGGAACAGCTCTTTCTCGAAGTGGAAAATACTTACTCTATTTCTTTAGGTGGCAAATGATCTAATTCAGCATAATTGACACTGAATTTAAAATCATCAGAATATTTATTGAATGTAATTATTTTCTTCTGTGGATAAGCATTCATTTTCCCGAACAGCGTTCTTTTAACCTGCAGGAAGAAGGTTTGCTAGTAGGCAAGTTTGTAAAATTTTTCAAAAAGCTTTAGCTTCTTCAATTAAAAAGTTTTCAAGAGAGAGAAAAATGGAAATCATTAAAATTCATTCAACTGAATCATGAAATTCCATTAGTATACTGTCCAGTTGAAAGTGATATTCATAATTTAAAGGATAATTAATTTGAATTCTTTACTGCAACAAAGGTACACAAGATTTTTTACCTGCTTTGTCTTGCCGTCAACTATCCTATCGAAAACGACCTGGATGGGAAACAGAACGGCATCCTTAGTAATAAATTTCTTTACTTTGAAACCCTGACTAAGATCAGCCGCTTTATAAACGGCGCCCATGGCTGCAGCCTCGTCGGTATTTATATTTTTCGATAATTCCATTTTAACGAATTCAGTCAACTTATCCTGAATCTTTGGCATACGAGTACCAGCACCAACCAAAACAACTTGTGATATTATGTCCATTGTCAAAGCTACAGCAAATAAGAATATTTCATTGAGGCATCAGAACCTTAAATATTTAATAACCAAGGAGCAATTATCACACATTTTTACTTACCAGAAGTATCTAATGCCATTTTAATAGGATTAGCCACACGCTCAAATAAATCGGCACACAATTCTTCCAGCTTATCTCTGGTAACTTGTAACTTGAAATCTTGCTCATCAAGAAGTCCCTCAATTTGGGCAAAATGGTCTGCATTAGCGCTGAGAACATTTTTAACTCTACCTGCTTCTTTGAAGAGCTTAGCCATCGCTCTGGGATTTTTAAAGACCGAGTTTGGAGTCTTTTTCAAGGCGTCAAATTCTTTGGCCAGATAGTTTTGCAGTCTAATTTGCATTTCCAATCCACCCAAAGTTCGATCATAACCAACGCCTAAAATGCTAACCTGAGGATTCGTTTCCACATAACCCTTTTCTTTTGTTTTAACATTTTGATATCCTACGATAGTAGTCGTAGTACTGCTGGCACCCATGTCGAAGAACATAATATAATGCGCTGAATCATTTATTTCTTTTCGCCGAAAAATCCCATAATTCAAGGCAACTGCTGTATAATCGTTAATCAGCTGTAAAACTTTAAGGCCTGCAAGGTCGGCTGCTTGTAACAGAGCTCTTCTTTCAGCCTGATTGAAAAAACCAGGCACAGTGATAACAGCCTCATTAATCACTTGTCCTGCAGAGTTTTCAGCAAATTCCTTTCCCTTATGTAAAATTTGTGCAATTAGTTCCTCTGGAGTATAGGTGGTATTTTTATCAAGTCTAAAGGCTATTGTATTCCTTTCTTCATCAGCAATGATATTGTAATATGGGAATCTTTCTTTATACAATTGAACAATTGGGTTGTCAATTGGTTTTCCCAAAAGATCTAGTAGATAGGAAAAACTGTTTTGAGGGAATCTAACTCCAACCACCTGAGCATCCTCTCCAAAGGTACGTTCTCCATCTCTAAATGCTATGGTAACTGGTGTTTTTCTTTTGGATTCTTTATTCAAGGCAATTTCCATAGGAACTCCAGGCTATAGATAAAGGTAAAGAGAGTGAATTATAAAACATATTGTACCAAATAGAAAGCTCTAAGTTACGTAGTACAACATATGGCAATAATTGGCAGTTGCTGAGCAAAAATCCTTATCCTATGACGAAACTAGTACTATATAAGATTAATACTTACAGACACAATAGCAACTTTCATCCATTCACTGCCAATATCAATACTCATGACAGCGACCCCATAACTACCACTAATAAAAAATGTGGCAGCAAATAAAGTTAATAGTATAGTCAACATACGTTTGTAATACATTTTTCTCTGAAAGTAATAAGAAACGTTGAGAAACGATATAGTTCTGGAACATTCTTCAACACGAGGACACTGTCATGCTGTCAAAATTGGTTATAATAACCGGCAACTAGATTGTTATAAAAATAATTCTTTTATAGAAATGTATACTTACTACAGCTTTGTGCTTTTGATAGGACACGAATTCACGAGGTTTTCTTGTTCTTACAACATCAGGTCTACACGTTTCCTAAAATTCTTCAAGATTGAAAACAGAAATCGTCTGTCCAGAGTGTCGTCGCTTGCACAGGCCATGTGTTTGTGTGGCGAAATACAATTGGAGAACGTACTACAAGGGGCGTATTTTCATTCGTTGACATCAGCCAATCGTAACTGCCTAGCGGTACACTCTTTTTACCCCAGGGAACTTCAAACAAACATATCTATGTCAATGCAATATGCAGATATGAATGGGAATAACAATAAAAACAATTTTCATAGCAGGTAATTGTTTAGGAAACAAATATTATTTCATATGTAATTTTCAATTTTATTTATTGTATGAACTTTTAAAGTGGTACTACAATATAATAGTAAACAAAGGGTTGTAAGTTATCGCATAGCTTATTTATACAAAATGTATCAGTTGATTAATATACATATAAAGCAACTGTTTTTATTATTTAGGTATATTCCAATTATTGCTTATTATTTTAAATTTTTACAGTAAAAGTAATTTTTACAATAATAGGTGATGTTTAATATTAATGATATCATAATGAGCAGCAATATTGTAACGGACTACATCTGCTTATGCTCATAAAAAATAAGTGGGCAATAAGTTTTAAAAACTTTTGTTGAATAATACAATAATTATACACCCATCAAGTACATATAAATTAGCTCCATTGATCTTCAGACCGTCCAAATTTATATGTTAAGGAGCCCAAAAAAATAAATATATTTTGCAGAAATAGACCAACTCCTGGCCAATGGTGGGGAACATCTGGAAATAAAGACAGGATTTAATCAATTGTGTACAGCTAAAGAGTGAGTTGTAATAATAAGTAAAGTACAAACCGGCTGTAACAAAGTCAGCAAACAAAATCCAGCATGCTGCAATAACTGAAGCAAATCCTATTACAAATCCTACAAAGAGCCAGGCTCTGGCACCTCTAGCTCCCAGACATCCTCCATTATATGCATCGCCTCTTATTTGGGCATTAGTCACTGAATTTATCCTATAACATATTAATGGCAAACTGTGATAAGTATACATAGAAATATATTCTCCATTATGTAAATATATATATTAATCAATTATCAATTATGAATATACATAATATCAATATCAAATATACCTTACCACTATCATACTTACATGAAAAGAGATATTGTACCAAATACTCCACATACATGATATGCATTTGACATTTCACTAGGATATTTTGCATGGGCATCGATAATAAACCACCATCCCATAAAGAACTAAAAAATATCATGGAAAAACTAAAATAATGCTGCAATTACATAAATTCTATGAACTAACATAAGTCGAATTGTAATAAACTTTGTACGTATTTTGGTATCTACAGTGTAACCTTAAAATAATACAATTAAGATTATAAACATTATAGGGCATAATTTGATTTTTCACCTACAACGTTAAGACAATAAGAAACATTAAATATTGTAACAATATAATCCTGTGAATAACAATAATGACGATTCATAAATGAATTTGTATTTATACATATTAAACTTTTAAAAAATTAAATAAATGTACTTACTAGAGTTCCAGCAAGCATGGATGCATAAGCATTACGCTTCTCGCCACCCTCGAACCACACACAGGGTGGAATCTGTATATTCTCAAAGCAAGAAGTCATTTTACAGTGATTTGTTTGACGTCTGTACCATCCAGTTCTATCTCAAGTAAGGCACCTGAAGTTGCCGTGCTCGAGAGCGAGTTCCCCCCCCCTCCCCCTCATCGAACACAAATTTAGTGATATCAGCCAGTGATGAAATATTTTGCCAGTTTCGATTGGTTTCGACTTGTATCATAAAAGTAGACAATAGGTCTGTTCTCATTCTCTACGCTTTTTGCAGTTTTCAAAAAGTGCAGAAAGTGTAGGTAACGAGAACGGACATAATAACTCAAAAATCGAGGACTCATACTTCTGTATGGCAAGTAATAAGATTACTAATAAGTTTCATCTAAAGTAATCAATTCATTATTTGTATGTAAAAGACTTCTATCTATGATAATCAATAACGATAACCGATCGACGGTTCTTTTTCTTCTTTTTTAGATAATCAAATTTCGTTTCATTGTACTGTAGCATATAAGGAGTTCAACTACTGTGTCCCCAAGTAATTTTATATCCCAAAGTACAAGAGATTTAACTCCAGAGTATTCTACAAGTTAGTGTGACGGATTTAATCTTCTTTCGTGATTTGGGGATACTCATACTAACTCGCGGAATACTCTTACTCGATTATTGTTGTTGATTATAATAATTAAGTCTTTTATATACAAATAATGCATTGATTAGTTAGATGAAACTTATTAATAATCTTATTACTTGCCATACAGAACTATGAGTCATTCGATAGATGCGATTGTTTTTGGTAACGTAACCCTCGATTTTTGAGTTAATGTTAACTTTTGTAACACAAGTCGAAACTGTCAAAATATTTTATCGTCGACTGATATCACTATATTTTAGCGCAAAAACAAGGGAGGGGGATCTCACTCTCGAACGCAGCCACGTCAAGATGAACGAGACCAAACCGAGATGAACTAATCACTGAACTATAGGCTACCTGGAATGAGTACTGAGCGTATTGGGAACTGGGCCGCCTTGTTCGGAAGAGGTATTTGACAAATGGGGATTCCTGTTCCACATTTGCATGGTCAGTTTGAAAAAGTTTTTCATTCCAGTTTTTTTTTACTATAGAATAATAAAATTCAAAAAATATAGAGATCCCTGTTCTACAACTATCTCTTTCTGCCCGGGCCTTCTGCATCTTTACATATGGCCGGTAGCTATAATTCCTTCCTTTCTTTCCTTATGGCTGACTCCTCCAATGAGGAGATGTGCCAGTAACTAGTCCTAGGTAGCTATAATTCGTGGAACTAACCCATTGACATATAGCATGGACTACGCACAAGCATAAAGAAAACATCGGCGGCTGAAAGAAAGGAGATAGGGACTGGTGGCGGCCAAGCCCTATCTCTTTCGGGTAAACCAGAGATGAGTAGGTTATAGGTATATATAGGGTACTCATCTCTGGTAAGACCGTGGTCCATCCTATATGACAATGAACTAACCCAACTAACCTAAGGAAAAAATTACAGTTCTGAACCACTCTGATTTGGTGCTAAGAATCAACACTCTTAGATGTCGCAACAATCAGAAATGATGGCGATAGTAGGTACTTCCGTCACATTGCTTAACCGGTAAATTCATATTGTACTGAAGCAGATAAGTTTTAAGATGGTGAAGCAGGAAGAAACATGTGCGTCAATTGACAATAGTGAAAGCGAAAAGACAAACTTGGGAAATGATAAGACTGATACTGAAAATGATTCAGAATTCGAAGAGGCGAAAAGTAATAATAACGTAATGTTGACGGAGCTGCAGAAGAAGAAGAAACGGGGAATAATATATTTGTCAACCATACCAAAATACATGAATGTTACAAAAATTCGTGAAACATTCTCTGTTTATGGAAAATTAGGCAGAGTATACTTGCAACTCGCTGAAACGGGTTAGTCTCTTTAATTGCAGATTTATTCCACACATAATTTGTCATATGTAGTCGCAAAATATGTTTAAAATAATATCGTATAACATTCATGGTTCGATTGTAGAATTGTTGTCTAAAACGTTTTTTAGAAATTGATGACACAAAGAAGAAAAAGAAGAGGAAAGTACCTGCTAAACACTTTACTGAAGGTTGGGTCGAGTTCGAAAGCAAAAAAGTAGCAAAGCATGTAGCTGCTACATTAAATAATACACAGATTGCTACAAGAAAGAAAAGTAAATTCTTTGATACAATGTGGAATATAAAATATCTTCCAAGGTATTGTAGATTATCACATAAAACTGAAGAATATTTATGCATTACAATATTGTGATAATATATTTATCTTTGCAGGTTTAAATGGACTCATTTAAGTGAACGTTTAGCGTATGAACGTGCTGTACATAAGCAAAGATTACGCGCGGAAATTGCACAGGCTAAACGAGAAGTCAACTTTTTCTCATACAATGTTGATAGAAGTAAAAAGTTACGCAAAAAGCAAAATCAAGGAGAATCTACAAGTTTCGTTATACCTGACATTAAGCAGCGGGAAACAGACATGGAGATTCGAAGTAGAAAGAATGAAAACAAAAATGACGATAGGACACAATTTCTCAAATCATTATTTGGGAAATGATAAAGCATATTGTATTCTGTATATGTATATTCCTACTCCTTTTCGCAAATATATCAATACATGTCTTATAAAAATTATCAGCATTATCAATACGCGTATTAAATTCAGTTAATGTATTATTAGCTCATGTTGGTATTTTATATAAATCCAAAGTTATGAAATTTCACATTAAATAACAAATTTGATAAAGTTGAAATACGGAAATCAAAACCATCAATCGGTATATTATCATATCAAAGCAGCTTGATATGACATGACAGTAATATTGATTGCTATTTTCTTATTTAAATTCCTATGGCATTGGCTGATCTGTAATAGTAAATTTGGAATTGGGCTACTTATTTTTTTTCCGACAAATTTCGAATTGTCTTACATTCCATTGATCTCAAGAAGTTAACCAATAGGAATGTTGCTTATCTGAATACAAGTTCTGCCGCAAGTATTCTCTAAAACATAACCTATTATGTTTGTGAGTAATGATATTATAATATGAAGGTAAATTAATGTAAGAACTGTGTGTCAGATTGTCTAGATTAACCAAACGAATAAATGCAATAATTGACATTATTTTTAAAGTCGCATTTAAATCGAATTTATCTTCTTTATTAATAGTTTTATTCATATTACATGTACTAACAAATAGATTTCAATGAGTGAAACTTTTAATCAAAATGTATTAATTATTTAATTATTTAATTATTCGTTTATTGTTTTACAGATGGTTTCGACAAAGACGATATTATCATATTTAGGAAGAGGAATACTGATTGGAGGTATAACATATCAGGCTTTCCAAGCTTTTGAACAATTTCTCTTCCCAAGATCAGGAATGTATCAACTAGCACTACATCTAGTAACTAGGCATCCTGAAGCGATCAAGTACTTAGGAGAACCTATAATTGACGAATACATCGATTTGAATCTTAGTAGGAGTAAGCAGTCTAACAACAGTTGCTATTTCTCAGTTCCTTTAAAGGGATCGAACGCAGCTGGAACAATGCGCTATCACCTGAATATTACAGATACTGAAAGTAAGGAGTATTACATATCAGAAATAGACCTTTTCATTAATAATGAAGAGAAGACAAAGATATCCATTTTAAATAAATCAACTCCCATCAATATGCAGTAATGTATTTGTTTTGATAACAAGTTCATATGTTTCATAGTATGATTCTTTAACAGTAATAAAGATCGTCTTTATATCTGTAACTATTCAGGATCTTATTAATGAACTACAATTGGAAGACTTAGAATCTTAAGATGAATATTTATCTAAACTATCTACCATTAAAAATAAGTTATTAGTAATATAATTGCGAATGAATCATACATATTCATGTACATTATTTATAACGTTCTAATGTTTCGTCCTGTATACAGATAACCGCATCTCTTAAACATTAACCAGTCTCATCGAGTCTGCAGACCCGTTCTCATTTAACCTTTTCTTTTGGAAATTGAATAAGCCTGCTACCAAGACTAAGAGATAATTAAGTTTGCGATACGTGCCGGCCATACGCAAGATAAATATTTTTCTGTGTAGTAATAGCCGCATTTCTACTACCAGTGCCATACGGCAATATCTACGATTTGCGAAAAATACAAACATTAAGGATAGGGCAGCTTTTGATATGCGAAAGTAAGTAGACATAAAAATAAAGTTGTGGTTCAATTCTTGAAACAAGATAAAAATTCTATTTAGTAGCGGAAAAATAATTGAAAATAAAATTAAAAGAAGAAAAACCTGTGAAAGTATAACACTCATTTGTTCTCAGTCCTTCGTTATATTTGATCAAAAATCTTTATACTTATCTAGAAAATTATCAGTTCGAAAATTCTCCCCTGCACGTGGACTATTGAATTGCCCAACTAATTAAAAATGAAAGAATGACAGCTTTGTGGAATTTACTCTACCCTTATACTCTTCCTTATGTTCCATATACTGAATTCCGTCTCATTTCATCTGTCCAATTGAAAAGGTAAAAGCACAATTTTCCTCTAAATTGGAGCTTTTCTGATAATGATGTAAGAGAGCATGCGGCTGATATTTTTTCGTTGGTTCCTATGAAAGTATATCTATGTCTTATACCGGGATTCGAAGTTTGGTAGAGTAAGAAAAAAAAAGAAAGAAAAAAGCTCGAGGGTCTTCTCTTTATTTTCTCACGGAAACCGCAAAGGAAGAAGAGAACTTCTGTTCATTATGTATGCTGTACAGGAAGCCTTAGACACTATAGTATTTTGTATCTCACTTGTATCAGTAGCAGCTACAATCTTACATTTTCTTATTATTATCAGGAACTTGGACCATTACTTTTCTCAATATCATTTCATTTTTCTGTATTTAATCTATGAACTTTTCAACTTTTATCATATTAAGACTTTCTGGAATTTACTATATACATAGATTATACTACTGTGGTAGAATTCGATAGCTGTGCGTCGAAGCCAGAGAAGTTCTGCATGAATAATATCTTTAAAGTAGATCTAAATGTGAGAGACCCTAATCAGGATTAACGTTCCGAATATTCAAGAGTAACCCTTATCACTTTCATCCTGATAACAATAATTGCAGCGACAAGGTAAGCCACGAATTTTAAGCTGAATATGACGCCATATTTTATTAGTTAATTATTGCTTCAGAAAGTTTATTTAGTATTTGAAAAAATTGCTCACATACATGCGCACAAAGTTTCCATTTTGGCAAGGTTAATTGAACGTTAATTAATTCTGGCTAAACTCGATTAGGGGATGATAGGGAGTTTTTAAGCATCGAACAAATGATGAAACTTCCCCAAAACAAATACCATATCCTTTTCAATTAATAGAAAATTTCATTTTCTCCCTTCTTATTGGAGGATGGTAATCGAATTTACAAAAATTGTTGGTATTTCCTTAACTGAACTCTGGATAAGGGTTTAAATGGAAAGATCAGTCCCAGCTGGTATGCCTTCAGCAAAAAGCTTTTGATATCCATTACGATTTTTGGCTTATGGTTACTTATGTAGGAGGGGAAGGGGAGCATAAGTCCTATACGTAACAGTCGTAAATCTTGTATACAATCCACTCAACTACGACATACGATTTCCACTAAAGTCCTGATTCAAATGATTTGCAAAATTAAAGGAGTTGTTGGTTCGATAAAAGTATGCAGGCATTGGAGGAATTTATAATTTTCTGACTAATCTCCCAGAGAACCAGAACAGAACAGTCTCCGATACCATAAATATCACCACTTGTATTAAACTTTACATTTACTTTACTTCTGGTTCTCTCTCGCGAAGTTAAACCCTTTGTCGACACGATTATTACTCTCTATGTGTTACATATTTCTATAATAATATTGCTTCGTATATTCAATGAAAAAATAATTTAGTACCACAAAATGCATTAAAGTGAAATTTATCAATCAGTTGAATATATTCAATTTCTTGTTTAATAAGAAATAAGGATGACGCGCCAACGAAACTGCGTTCCTCGCAAGTCTTTGAAAATTCAAATAGGAACTTACCATGGCGAGCGATAAATTACTCACGTTCTACGTATAACCGCAATTAAACGAAGCCGAGTGTACGGATGATCAAACGGGGGTAAAACGGTAGGTATAAGCATAAAACGTTAGAGCCAGATGGAAGATGAACAATCATTAAATATAAATTCATAAATTATAGGTATTTCGTTTAATGATCAAATAAGCTTTAAAACATATCTTAAGAGCCAATAAAAAGCTCCTGTGAGAACGCTTACCTTAAAAATAAAAATAAAAAAGATATGACTTTTACGAATTATCATATTTATTACTTCATATATATACAGGGTGTCCCAAAATTACCTGACCAACGGGGTATGGCAGTGTTCGGGAGGCACCACTGATCACGAAAATGACCTTCCTTTTGTCCGGAAGGTCATAGTTTTTAAATGGGAGCAAGTCAAAGTTCACCAATCAGAGCGAGGCGTCAAGAGAAACGTAGGCACCTACGAACTCTGAGTTTTCTTCCCTCGCTTTTTTTTCTCAGTGGCTTCGGGCAGGATGACGTCAGCCGAAGGCATGCCTATTGGAAGCAAGAAACAAGAAACAAAAGCGAGGGAAGAAAACTCAGAGTTCGTCGGTGCCTACGTTTCTCGTGACGCCTCGCTATGATTGGTCAACTTTGACCTGCTCCCATTTAAAAACTATGACCTTCCGGACAAAAGGAAGGTCATTTTCGTGATCAGTGGTGCCTCCCGAACACTGCCATACCCCGTTGGTCAGGTAATTTTGGGACACCCTGTATATATATGAAGTAATAAATATGATAATTCGTAAAAGTCATATCTTTTTTATTTTTATTTTTAAGGTAAGCGTTCTCACAGGAGCTTTTTATTGGCTCTTAAGATATGTTTCACATTTATCCTCATTTTAGTGTCATTAAACTGGTCCCAGTTCACGCCAATAGTAATAACCACGAATATGGTTTACGATCGTTATATTAATCTATTAAGTAAGGTAAAATACATAAGCAAGTGGCAAGTAACAGTTGATGTTCACGAATTACGTCACTTCCGTATACCTTAACGAAAAAAAGCCCACGAAAAGTTCAGGTTATTAGCGCCATCCTTTGAATTCATTGAGCATTCACTAGTCGCTTTTATACGCGCCACCTGGTATTCCAAAATGAATTAGATTTTTCATATTTACTTATTTCTTTATTACCAACAGCTCTCATTATTCGCCGCAGTAGGGGAGAAACTGATACAAATATAATTGCAATTACTCAAAATATTATTGGGAAATCTATAGGTATTAGATTGGCGTTGCAATTATATTTAACTGGGGAATATCTAGGTTTTTTTTTTTTAATAGTACAAAATCCAGGTTACATATTCACGTAGGTAGGACCACCAGTCGTCGTGTCGTCATCGCGACATTTTTACCCCCTCGGGCTCAGGTCGTGAAATACGATACGAGCACGAGGATATCGGATAAAAAGGTTGGGCTAAAAATAAAATCCTATAAAAATAAATGAGGTCTCCAAGGGTGGATGGTATAGGATAGGTTATGGCGTTGTTTATCCCTATTCGACGAAAAATGATAATTCCATGGACGTTGCGGCTCGTTAGGTAACTCACGAGAGTAGAAATCGAGTGAAGACGCCTAAGTAGGCTCTGAGATCAACTAGGAGCACTTGAGGAGAGACTCGCATCATGTGAATTAGCCCTAAGGAAAAATAGTCCCCAGTGACTATACATAGGTATACAAACCATTTGAATATTTTATGTATATGTAATTATATTACGAGAGAAAATCAATAAATTATTTCTTACTGATTTTCCAATATTTGTCGTTCTGGCTTGACTCATTGAATGTTTTTCTATTGATAATGATATCGTCGGATAGAAACTTCCATTTAAATCGCCAGAAAAAAGTCTGTGCGCGTACGTCGTATCGTCTCGTTTCAAATCTATTCGCTTCATATATTCCTTGAGTCGCGACGTTAGATATTTCACAACCAAAATACTCCAAGGATGCTGGGATTTAGTGAGAGATAAATATCTCAGGATGTAGCGATGCGTAGCAGGCGATGAGTAATCCGAGATTACGATTGTCGTATTTCAAGTCGTCGTCTTATGTAAACCTGGCAATAGAGGAAGAAAAATACTTTATCACAACATTTGACAATTCAATAAATGAGACGTAAAATATCACTGTGTTTTGAAATTGTATGCCTCTAATTCTTTCTGTTCAATCGATATCGAATGATAACGCATGGACCGAATTGTGGTGGTTAAGTTAAAAACAAATTTTACTCTCACGACTAAAAACTGATTTTTCTACTTTTTGTAATTATTGTCCCGACAAATTCATCTGATTTTCCTTTTTTACAGTGTGAGATTACTTAAAGGATTTCATTCTAACGAGGCAATGACAAACGTCTCGAAATCGGTCAGCGGAATAGCTAAAAATTCTGATAACAAAAGTAAAGAGAAAAAATAAAAATTCAATTATACAAGGTAGAACGAGCAATCGCAGTCTCATTAATTTTCGAAAATGAACCTCTCGAGTGAGAATGGTTGTAAGATGAGAGTGAGAAGGATAGAGGCAGTGTACCAAATGAAATTAGTAGAGTGAATTTGGATTGGTAACTGGTGATCACTGGGACATAATGATCTTTCATAGCCTGTGTGACAAGCAACAATATTTAGATGTAAATCTTACTATCCACATATACTGAATCGTCAAAGTCACTAATTTAACAACATTTTTGAATCCTTAAGAAATGTTTAGTCCGCTACTATGAAGTTGACAAAATCAAAATCAAATTAGCCATATACACCACAGCCATAGACAGAAATTCTCTGATATAAGTGTATTCGATATAATGTATAGGGTGTCCCAAATTTCATGAACCTCCGGGGTATAGCCGTGTTTGAGAACATTAAAGAGCATGAAAATGACCTCGTTCTTGTCTGGAAGTTTTTACTTTTTGAATGGGAGCAGGTCAAAGTTGACCAATCAGAACGAGACACCAACAGAAATTGTAGGCAACTATAAACTCTGAGTTTTCGTCCCTTGCTTTGTTCTTCTAGACGGCATCGACGAAGCTGCATACGCTGGGTGCGTTGGAAATGGACTTACAGTACTGTCAAAGTAATGACATCTCTCTTAGATGCGTATGGACGAATAAGGACACAGCGTTGGTTACAGTACTGGCAGTACTGTCAATACATTTCGGAACGCACCCTCTATAAACAGATCGCACAAATGTCAATTGTTAGACGGTCCAAAACGTTCTAAAACGTATTGGAATGCTATTTTAATTATAGAAAAATAGATTGCTACAGATCAAGAGAGAAAACGAGAGAGAGGGACACTACCAAACAAAACAAAAAAAAGTAAATGTATGAAAATTGAAA